TCCGCTCTTCGTAGTTGGGCTGACATTTCAGGAACTCGGCGCCATCTTCATGGACTACACTGTACAATCCAGCAGAATCCTTCGTGATTCCCAGAACAACAGCCGTGGTGTTGGTTTTGCTCGGTATGTATCTGAACACCTTCCCACGCTGATATAGGTCTCTGACATTCCTTGATAGTTTTGACAACCGCGATGTCTGTGAGGAGATCATCAGAAAGTTCCATGGCATGCCTATTGGCGAAGAGGGTCTTCTTCTCCAGGTCCGCTACGCCGACACCCCTGCTCAGAAGGACCTCAAGCGCATCACCACCGAGCGTCGCCAATTCCGAACCAATGAGTACAATGTCGGTGCTTATGGTGGCCCTGTCGAGATGATTGCTTTGTCTCCTCCAATGCACTCTCCAATCCTCCCTCGGACTACCCAGATCTCTTCTCACTTTCATTCCAGAGCCAGTGGTTCATGGAAGCGTCGTGACAATAGGTATGCATCACAGATATCTGGCTCGACCGACCCATATGCTAACATGAACATAGCTCCTCTGATTCCGTCGGTGGCTTCAAGGACCTCGACCGCAGCGTCAAGGTCTCTTCTAGCGAGCCTACTCCTAAGCCAAAGGCCGTGTAAGCTTAGTCTTGACAATCTTGACCCAATTTGTAGCTGACCCAGGCGCAGTAAGCTCGAGACTCCAAGTGTTTCAGACGATGACTCTGCCGACGATGGTGTCACGGTCCACAACGACTCTCCTGCTGTCGCCCATGGGGGTTCTCCTTCCTCTCCATCCGACCGCAAGTCCTAAACTATCCACCACGGCGAAGGGAGTCCAGTCTTACCTCATTGGCATACTCTACACTTTGCTCATGGACTTACGCCATTCCACATTCCATCATACGACGTTGACTACTTCTTTGACCAGTTCTCATGCGAAGTATCACCTGTACGCTTTACTCTGGAGCAAAATTCACCATACATACGCATGCATCAGCACACATATCCTTCTCTTCGGCATAGATATGTCGCTCGCATTACTCTAACCGGAAACATCTTTCGAGTTCTTGCGATTAGTGCACCGTATGTAGGACTCACTAACTGTATTTTCAACGCAAGGTGTGTGGCATATTGGCATCACTCACGGGGGAACATCACTTTATGTTTCAGCAGAGAGATATCAGACGGATTGCGCTTCGCACTGTAGCTAATTTTTCTCTTTTGCTGCCGTGGCTAGTTCACTACATAGTGTAGGCAATTGTAGCATAATCGAACAAGATCCACAAAATTCTTCCATCATTTTCCTTCGTCGTGAGTTTGACCATTTTTATTTTTGACTTGCTTCCTCTGCCTAGGCACTTGTCTACATGAACGGCTGATTGGTTCAACGGCCAGAGATGCCTCATCGGCTCGCTTGGTGCCTGGTGGCGGGATGCAGATTCTCACCAGCTACGGCTGAAGTCTATCTACAGACTGCTAGTGCACAGGGTCCATTGTTGCGTGAGAGTCAGTGAAAACTTCAGGCCTCGTCCTTGATTTCAAGTTTCGCCATGGGGATATCATTTCCGAGACGATCTTTCGCAATGCCGCTCACGTGAGAAGCAATGTCTTGAGACGGCGGGATGATCTCCTCTACCTGTGCCTCAACATCCTCATCTCCGCTCTCCCCGCTGTCCTCGCCCTGGTCGGATTCCTCGTCTCCTCGAGCAGCAGTAGGTTCCCCATCGCCGTCGACACCGACCTCCTTCATGTAAGTCTCAAGCTCCTTTGCCATCTTCCTCGAGAACCCAGAGGCCTCGACCGAAACGTCGAGTCTCGGAACACCGTCCTTCCCAATGAGTTTCCTAGCTTCCTTGAAGTATGGACCCTTGGCATCGCTGGTAAAGTGGAAACGGCGCTCGAAGAACCTCTTGATGCAGTTTACGTCTCGATCGAAATAGAATTCGGCGTTGGCGTGGTCTACGGACACCATTTGAGGGAAATCGATCAGGATTGGTGTCAGAACCAGATTTTCGGTCTGCTTGCCGTCTAGCTTTTCCTTCTTCGTCTCCTCCTTGACCAGGATATTGAACTCGTTGAAGTCTCCGTGGATGAGGCCGTACTGGGCAAGGCGCAGGATCATAGCAATGAGCTCGGCGTAGAGGGACGCTGGGTCTGGAACGGCGGATATCTGACGCATGGGAAAGGCGTCGATCAGCGACATGACGATGGTGTGTCTGGACTGCGCCAGCGGTTCCGGCACCGGGAACCCATTCTCTCGGAGTGAGGCCATGAACGTGAACTCCTTCAGCGCCGCCAGCCTCGACATGTACATCCACGAGCCCGACGACCGGTTCCGCAGGTAGTCTCTGTTGGCCTTGACCGTGCGGAAGGATATGCGGCCCAATCGGTGGATTTTCAGGACGCGCTGAACCCCGTCCTCGTCCGCGACGACAAAGATGTCGCTTTCCTTGCCCACGCCGATCTGGTTGCCGACGCTGTAGACGTCCTTGCGCTTGCGGTAGGTATTGAGGGCGAGGTAATCGAGGCCACCATAGGTGAGACGGTAGCCGTCGTATTTAGCGTTCTTGAGGCGCCCGATGAGGCCTACCTTGGCCAGCGCGGAAATGCTCTTGTGTACCCCTCCTCGCAGCCCGGAAATCTGGCCGATGAGGGCAGTGGGCACGACTTCATGGTTCCTGGAGCCCGTTTCCACCGCCGTGAGTGTCCTCCAGTCCTCGACGGTCAAGTAGCGCATGTGCTTCGTGTCGAGACGCATGGTGGTGGTGGTGGCGGTGGAGTGCGGATTTGAACCGTTGGTGAGGGCATTCAGAGACAATAATAATATTTCTTTTCCAAGTGATGCTGGTGGAGATCTACCTAGAGCTCGGTGGCTGACCCTTGTCTGTCATGGCGCTTGTATGTGTGGGTCGCTCGCTTACTTAATTGGTCTGGTGTCGGTCGAAGCTGTTTATGTTCCTAGGACGCGGAAGCTTTGAGGTGCCTGGAGTGACCACAACATATCCCATCTCAACCCTACCTTCACAACGGAATCTCAATTTTCAAAAGTTTCCTCTGTATTCCTTGTTTACCTCCAACCACTCCCTTTCCCGAAAAGGTTTCAAACATACAAGAAGCCAGGATGGCGAAGGATGGCGAACCCCCAAAGTCGGTCGACAAGGGCAAGGGAAAGGCTGTAGATGCCGAGCCGGCGAAGCCTGAGGAGATAAAGAAGGATAAGGATGGGAAGCCGCTTGTTAATGGGAAGGGTGATGAGCCTGCTATTGGTGGTAGGTTGTAAGCCCTGGATGGCGAGGGATTCAGCTAACAGACCGTCTCAGCGCCTGAAGAGCTCAGTGAGGAAGACCAACAGCTGAAGGGTGAACTGGATATGCTGGTGGAACGATTGACGGTATGAGGAATCACTACTGCTACAAACGTTGGGCGCTGACGAGCTGCTGCGAATCTAGGAATCGGATACAACACTTTACAAGTCTGCTTTGGAGGCCATCAAGGACTCTATCAAGACCTCTACATCTTCCATGACCGCTGTTCCCAAGCCTCTCAAATTCCTGCGACCCCATTACGAGCCAATGATCAAGCTTTACGAGCAGTGGCCTGCGGGACACGATAAGACGTCGTTGGCAGATGTGCTCTCGGTGATCGGAATGACCTTCTCAGACGAAGACAGACAAGATACTCTCAAATTTAGACTGCTCGCGCCCACATCAGACATCGGATCATGGGGTCATGAATACACGCGGCACTTGGCCTTGGAGATCGGGGAGGTATACACCAAGAGATTGACAGCCGACGAGCCATACCGGGACCTCATTGATCTTGCTTTAGTACTCGTACCACTGTTTCTCAAGAGCAACGCTGAAGCGGACGCGGTAGACTTGATGAGTGAGCTCGAGGTCATTGAAGATATCCCCAAGTTCCTCGACAAAGACACATACGCGCGCGTCTGCCTCTACATGGTCAGCATGGTCAGTCTCTTAACGTACCCCGAAGACCAACAATTCCTTCGCACCGCACACGATATATACAAGAAATACGACCAGCTTACCCAAGCAATTGTTCTTGCGATCCGGCTGAACGATGTGGCGCTTGTTCAAGAGGACTTCAACTCCACTAAGGATGTGGCGCTCAAGAAGCAAATGGCTTTCTTGATTGCCAAGCAGCAAATCGTGTTGAATTTGCCTACCGAGACAGAGGAGGAGCGGGAGATTGTGGAGTGCTTGAACAACACCAAGATGCCTGATCACTTCAAGGCTTTGGCTAAGGAGCTAAACATTCTGGATCCCAAGACCACAGAGGATATCTACAAGAGCCATCTTGAGAGCAACAGAGTGGCTGGCCTGACGAATCTGGATTCTGCCCGACACAACTTGGCTGCTGCATTCGTTAATGCATTCGTAAATGCTGGATTTGGCAATGACAAGATGATGTTGGTTGAGGAGGAGAAGTCGGCCTGGGTCTGGAAGACTAAGGACGAGGGTATGATGTCTACGGTTGCCTCGCTCGGAACGTTGCTTCTCTGGGATGTCGAAGGTGGATTAGACACAATCGACAAATACACCTATGCGGACGATGACCAGATTCTTGCTGGTGCCATGTTGGCTATCGGTATGATGAACTCTGGTGTGAGAATTGACTCAGAACCAGCACTTGCTCTGTTGAGTGATGAAGACAGAATAAACCACAAGAGTCCTGCTGTGCGGGTCGCTTCGATCATGGGTCTAGGTTTGGCGTATGCTGGCTCGAACAAAGCTGGGGTTCTCGAGGTTCTGTTACCTATTGTTGGCGATACTTCCCTGGATATGCAGATTTCGGCTATGGCAGCACTTTCTCTTGGTTTGGTCTTTGTTGGTTCGTCGAACAGCGATGTCAGCGAGGCTATTATTCAGACATTCCTTGACGATGACCGGAAATCACAACTGCAAGACAAGTGGACGCGATTTATGGCTCTTGGTCTTGGTCTCCTATTTTTCGGACGCCAAGAGGATGTCGAGGTTATCCTGGAGACTTTGAAGGCTATTGATCACCCAATGTCGAAGCCAACTTCGGTACTCGCTGAGATCTGTGCTTGGGCCGGAACCGGAACTGTGTTGAAGCTTCAGGAGCTGCTCCACATCTGTAACGACCACATCGAGGAGGGTGATGAGAATAAGGGCGATGAGTTGCTGCAAGCTTATGCGGTGATTGGTTTGGGCTTGGTAGCAATGGGTGAGGATGTTGGTCAAGAGATGGTCCTCCGTCAATTCGGCCATCTTATGCACTACGGTGAGGCCAATATCCGAAAGGCTGTTCCGCTGGCGATGGGTCTTTTAAGCCCTAGCAACCCTCAAATGAAGGTCTACGACACTCTCTCGAGATACTCCCATGACAATGATAACGACGTCGCTATCAACGCCATCTTTGCCATGGGCCTTCTCGGAGCCGGAACCAATAACGCAAGATTGGCTCAACTCCTCCGCCAACTGGCCTCCTACTACCACCGCGACCAGGAATCCCTCTTTATGGTCCGAATCGCCCAAGGTCTGCTCCACATGGGGAAGGGCACGCTGTCTATCAGCCCTTTCCACACAGACCGCCAGGTTCTCTCCCGCGTCTCTGCTGCCGGCATCCTCGCTGTCCTGGTCGCCATGATCGACGCCAAGCAGTTTGTCACCGACAAGTCGCACTACCTCCTCTACTACCTCATCACCGCCATGCACCCTCGCTTCCTTGTCACATTGGATGAAGATCTGAAGCCGCTTACGGTTAATGTGCGCGTGGGACAGGCTGTCGATGTGGTTGGCCAGGCAGGACGGCCGAAGACGATTACGGGGTGGCAGACGCAGAGCACGCCCGTGCTGTTGGCGTATGGTGAGCGTGCGGAGTTAGAGGATGAGCAGTATCTGCCGTTGACTAGTAATTTGGAGGGGCTGGTCATTTTGAGAAAGGTAAGACATTCCCCATGCAATGCAATGAATGTATCTAGACTGTGAAGAGAAAGTACTGACATCGAAACAGAACCCCGAGTGGGAAGATGGGAAAAGCTGAGTGGGAGGAATGGTATTGGCATGAAATAAAATGTACAATAATAGCGGTAGACCTGATCGCGTGGAAGCGTTGTCGGGTATAATCGCACGATAGATGATATTAGGCTTTTATCAATGATCGATCGATCGATCTTTTCTTCTCCTTTCGATTTCTCCTTCTTCTGTGCTCTTCCGAGCACAACGCTGTCTACGAGCTATAATATAACAGCCAAAACGCGATTGTAACTGATGCCCAGTCCCATGAATGTGAAGCAGCTCAGAATGCATAAAGCCCAAAATTTACCTGTCCCATAAGCCCGCGAAATTCCCAACCCATAGCTACCGCCCATACCCACAAGCAAATATTTATACATCCGAAGTACCTATCTCAACACCGCTCAAATACCCTGTAGAGCCCCTTCAAATTCGCAATCTCTACAACACCGCCCTTCATCAACGACTTCGTAGCAACCAACCGCGCCCTGAAAGCCGGGAACAGTACATCTTCCACGGCCTTTCCGACCTGCTCTCGCCTAGCTCTGATCTCCTCGCTCAGCTCCTCCTCGGGGTCTTCCGGGCCCGGAGATGACGGGAGCTGCTCGGGCACATAGTATGACGCCAGCTCGCGCAGGAAGGTAGCGAAGCATTCCTTCTCGGTCATCCAGTTGACATGCGGTCCGAGGCGAAGCAGGAAGCGTGGCAGTTTGGCAAGAGAGGGCGTGTAGCCTTTCAGGAGGAGTGGGAGGGTGACGAGGTCGCCATCTGGGGAGATTTCGAGGGAAAAGTACTCCAGCAGCATTTCCCTCCTCTCGAGGAGCTGTGCGGAGACGAGGTCAACGACTTCGGCGACTTCGAAATCGTCGCAGGAGTTTGTGGGCGGGGAAGTGGCCTTCTCGTGCTCGGCTGCTAGGGCGAGGAGCTCTCGCAGGGGGAGAGGGGGTTCGAGGCGGATAGTACCGAAGTTACCGAAGTCCGTGAGGCCGACTTGGTAGAAGTACTCGGCGCAGACGAGGCCGTAGTCGACAAGGAAGAGCTTAACGCCGCCTTGGATGGCGGCCAGGCGCCGACGAGAGTCGACGATGCCGATGAAGGTATGGGAGGCGAATATTTCGGTAAGGGTGTTATGCATGGCGTCGCGAACTTCGGCACGCAGCTCCTTGACGGTCACGAGGCGGCAGTTTACGGGCTCTCGGTCTGACGAGAGGTATTCGGGATCGGAAGTCTTGGAGGCGGTAGGTCCAGGGCCGGGGGTGACGCTTGTGCTGGCTCGGATGGAATTGGAGTTTGTGCTGGGTGGGAGCATCGAGGTTATCTTCCGGAGCTTGGCGTCGGTGCGGACGAGGTTGTTCTCGTAAGGTTTGGGCTTGGGGGTTGAGGAGGTAGTGGTGCCACTTGTAGGATTGTCGCCGTCAGGGGTGACGGACGAAGGGAGGCGGACGCCGGGGAGAAGGGTTTGGGTCATGAAGGTGCGGCTTGTGTCAACGTTTGCGAGTTTGGTGCGGATGTCGAGGCATATCTTCTCGATTATCTCATCTTCGTTGAGGAAGTTGACTTCTCGTTTTGTAGGGTGGACGTTGACGTCTACTCGATGGGGATCGATATCGAGACTCAGATAGGTCCAGGGGTGGCCTCCTTTGGGGAGGAAGGTGGAGTAGGTCTGCTCAATAGCTTTGCGGATGTTGGTGGAGTCCACTGAACGGTGGTTGATAAAGAGAAGGAGGGTAGCCCTTTTGACATGGTAGTTGGCATTCGTGGTCCACCCACGGGCTTGATAGCCCCATTGCGAATCCGCAGATGTGAACTCAATGAGTTCGTTCGCTACTGAGCTCCCGTGGATCTGTCGAATTCGATCAACGGTGGAAGAATTCGACTGGGTGGAAATGGTGGTGCTGGCTTCTCCGTGCTTCTTGCAGCTGAAAGCTACACCATCGCAGTGTACGGCATATCGTCCGATTACATCGAGGATCTTGTTGTACTCCTCGGATGCTGATCTGAAAGCGCGACGGCGCGTTGGGACATTGTAGAACAGGTCCTCGACTGTGATCTGGGTCCCTTGCCTGCCAGCGGTTGGCTTGGGATCCGCACTCTGGCCCGGCTTGTTAGGAGCTAGACGGCCGCTATCATAGTGTGCTCTCCAGGCACAAGTAGAATCTTTCGTCTTGGTAGTGACGGTGAGATGGGCGATATGGCTGATACTGGCCAGAGCCTCTCCGCGAAATCCGTAGGTTCCAATGGAGGTCAAGTCTTCAAACGACTTGAGTTTTGAGGTGGTGAATCGCTCACAGAGGATTGGAAGATCATCTTTCTTCAGGATGTCAATTCTGCTTTGATCCATTTGATGAGCGTCTCCAAACTTACAGAAATGCCGTGGCCGTTGTCTGTGATCTGTAGAAGCTTCAAACCCCCATCCTTGACGAGAACTTCAAGGGAAGTAGAGCCAGCATCAACGGAGTTCTCGATAAGCTCCTTCAAGGCATGTACAGGCGCAACGATAATCTCGCCGGCAGCAATCTTGTTGACGACGTCTGGATCCAGTGCCTATATATCACATGACGACGTTAGGATACATGCATGAATGAGGCTGAGAAAAGGGTGGCAACGATCAACGACAACGATCAACGATCAATACTTGCTTACCCTGATCCTTCTCGGGGCAGACACAACTGCAAGAGCCTCATCCGCTTTTCTCTTCGTCCCTCTAGGCTCAGAGTCCACATCCACATCCGCTTCCACTTCCATAGGATCGGGCATCATGGAGAACCGAGATGGAAGATGTCGTCTAGAATGGGAGTATCTAGGAATACATCGTCGAGATATCTTGCAGGAAGCAGATTAATTCGGGTCCAATCCGTCCTACTCTGACAGCCCAACTTGCCGATGCAGTCTGGAGACGAGCAGAGTTGAGTGGGTGAGTGCAGTGAATGGTGGTATCTAGGAGCTACGGTAGATCTACTGGGGCATCAAGGATAGAGAAAGGTATGCACCTCGTTATCTCAAATACCCTCGCTGACTCGACATACTCTATATGGGACTTCACCAGCTCGCCAACTTATGCGTCTAAGCCGCGGACATCATGAGAGCAGACAATTTTGGCTTGCTACCCCAAGGTTATTAAATCAACTCCACTTTTACACGCTGTGGTTTGGTCGTCCCGAACCACTTTGCAACCTCAACCGGGACAACCAGCTCGTCGTCCATACCGGATGTCGGAGACTGGTTAACAGCCTCCACTTCCCCAGAGTTCCTGAATTCTGCCAATTCTAACTTCACAGGCCTCTGGAACTTGTCATAGAATTTTCAGTTGCCTTTGCTGGTGGTTGCTTCTTTGGCTGTTGAATATCATGAGTTCGCCGCTATCACCAAGACTGATGCCATTTTGGACGCTGCTTCGACACTCTTTCCACCAAAGCCTGCCTCAAATTCTCTTGGGATCATTCAGCGATTTACTTTAAATGCCGGAACTCCGCAAAGCTCAGCTAGTGCCAATCCGGGAGTGGCAACAATGGTAGCGATTGTCACATCTGCACCAAGCTCAACTGCTGGGAGCTCTTCATCTATGGTGACTATTGTTGTTCTTGTTACTACGAGGACGATAAATGAAGCCAGGAAACATGGACCCGAAAAGGCATTGTTCAAGTCTGCACAAGTAGACTTGTAGGTAGACTTGATTTGAAGGTTGTCTGGGTATCATTTGCAAAGAAATTGGGGGAAGGCCGTGATATGGTAGAAACCATTGATCCCGAAGCCCTCAAATGAGCTTTCACCAGCAAACGTCAAAATCCTTGCTATAGAAAACGCCGTTGATCTGATTCTCAAAAGTGCCTACATGCGTTTTGAGTTTGTGGCGAGGAAGAGTACGCAGACTGCTACGATTGAGAAGGCGATCATAGTTAGAACCTAAGGGTTTGTTAGTATTGGAGCGAGAAAAGGCAAGTTCGGCAAGAGAGAGGGGAACGGCAGGTTTAATAAGCCTTTCATCCTCTCTCTCCCGGCTCATATTTCCCATCCATCCCTTCAACCAAAGGCTTTTATTCCATCCATTCATCGGGTGCCCTCCCCGCACCGCTATACGTAAAGAAAGCTCCTCAAGCCTTACCGACTGCGTCTTCCATCCCGTCTGCACGATGGCCGCCCGGCGACTATACTTGTTCACCGTCTGGATGTAGTTCCCAAAGCCCAGTGCCAGGCTGCTGATACTGAGCAGCCAGAAGATGACGCCGAGGGGCCTGGCCATGCGGAGCTCGAGGGTGGAGGGCTGCGACTTCAGGTGGAAGGAGACGACGATGGCGATGGAGACGACCGCCATGTAGACACTCAGGCGGAGGTAGGAGAGGAATGTGCGCTCATTGGCACAGTGGTCGCGGGCGTCTGAATTGGCGTTTTCGAAGAGGAGGGGCTGATTGGTTTTGATACCTTATTAGTATCCTTATTCTGCTGTAAACGGATGGGTGGCAACTATGAGGTCTGTACGTACGCCGAAGAAAGGCACGGCGCAGAATATGGAGTCCCCGTGACTTCTGTAGATTCGGTGCGTTAGCAAGTAGGCAGGTGAGGTGGGTTTGTATATATTGCGTTTTCCTCTATTCTCTTCTTATTTCAGTCTTTAATGTCTTTCTTCTCTTACTTACCCATTGCTGACGTCTACGGGCCGTAGATTTAGCGGGATCCCGAATGGGCTGTAGGAATTCCCGATGTCAACTACTTCTTCGACGTCGGCTGCTTGAGGCATGGCTTTGTTATGGGTTTGGGCACCCAAATATGAAGCTATTCCGAGGTGGGGCGTTTGTGTTGGTACGATGTCGGTATCTTCGCGAGACTTTTTCCAGGACCTCGGAAGCGGCCGCGTCGGTCGGGATAGAACTGCTTATCGTGAACTAGTGGCATCTGTCAATGTCCGAGGGCGGTGGCGGGGCGGAAGATCGCGATTGAGGCGGAAGCTTGAAATTACCATGCCCTGGATGCCCATGCTCCATGCTTCTCTCAATTTCCCTCTTTTCTTTCTCTTCCCCTTTGTACGCATGTTGTCTGATTGTATTTAAGCTTTAATCTACACATACGATTTTCAATGAGTATCTGCTTTCTTTGTCTTTTATTTAACGCTGCAAACCTTCGGAACCGAAGAAGTGCTCGATCACCTGCTGAAGCCTAGGTTGAAGATATCCGGCTTACAGCAAACCCCATCTTCCAACATGGCGAGTTCAGCCCGTCAGATAACGAAGCAGCCCAGCAGTAACTCAGTCAGGCGATCATCCTTTGACAACTCCTCCTCCTATTTATCCGGATCTTTCCTCTCGGGATCGCCTATAGCCCAAATTTCCATCGCACGCGACCTTGCGGAATGCGACGACGACGAGGTTGAAACCCCCGAAGAGGGTCATGCCAGCTCAGATGATGACTCCTCGGAAATTTCGACTGACGCCGTGCAACACTCCATGGCAAACTCGTACCGCAGACCCAGTTCCGTCGCTTTTGGGGGCGCCAGGGCAGCGGTCACCCCGCAGTTCACAGAGCCGAACTACCTGACCAAGAGGGAGAAAAAGCAGGCGAGGATGGAGGAGAGGAGTTTGCTAAGGGACAATTATCTTGCGCCTCCGAAACACCCAGAGTCGAAAGGGAGGGGCGCCCTGGACCGGATCTACAAGTGGCTTTTTAGTCCCAGGAGACCAAGGGCAGATTCGGATGAAGAGGGTGTTGAGGAGCAGTCCGAGACGACTGCGTTGCTGGGTGATAGCGTGCCGGAGACGGCAAGGAATCGCCATGAAAGACTGAACGCGCAGTGGGAGGCTGCGGTTGCGTCGGGGAAGATCAAAACGACGTGGCAGCGAGAAGCGAAGACGCTGTGGACATATTCCAGCCCTTTAGTGATTACCTTCGTACTGCAATACTCGCTTACAGTCGCGAGTATCTTCACGGTTGGCCATTTGGGTAAGGTGGAGCTTGGAGCTGTCAGTCTGGCTAGCATGACGGCGAATATTTCCGGGTACGCAATTTACCAGGGCCTGGCGACTAGTTTGGATACGTTGTGTGCGCAGGCTTATGGGAGTGGGAGGAAACATCTCGTCGGGCTGCAATTACAGCGCATGGTCTACTTCTTGTGGGCTTTGACGATCCCGATTGGCATAATCTGGATATTTGCCGAGAATATCTTGGAGAAGATGGTTCCGGAAAAGGAGTCTGCACGACTGGCTGGCCTGTACCTCAGGATCCTGTTGATAGGTGCACCTGGATTCGCGTGTTTTGAGAGTGGAAAGCGATTTGTGCAGGCTCAAGGTTTGTTTTCGGCTACGACGTACGTGCTGCTTGTTGCGGCTCCTCTGAATGCGTGGATGAACTGGTTGTTCGTGTGGCGCTTCAATTGGGGGTTTGTAGGTGCTCCTATTGCTGTTTCCGTAACAGATACGCTTCTGCCGATTCTTCTACTTTTGTATGTTCGATTTGTGGATGGACGACAGTGCTGGAATGGATTCACTTGGAAGGCATTCCATAACTGGGGTATGTAAAGGACCGATTCTATCACCGAGAAACGATATTGATATTTTAGGCCCGATGATCAAGCTTGCTCTCCCTGGTCTCCTCATGGTCGAAGCCGAGTATCTCGCTTTCGAAATCCTTACCCTGGCAGCTAGTTACTTCTCAACCACTCACCTAGCAGCTCAAAGTGTTCTCAGCACGCTCACAGCTCTGACCTTCCAGATCCCGTTTTCAACCTCCATTGCTGCGTCTACCCGTATTGCCAATTTGATTGGAGCCACCCTCACAGATGCTGCCAGGACCAGCGCAGTTGTGGTCATGGTAATCGCCTCTGCATTAGGCATCATGAACGTGATCCTCCTCTCCTCTCTTCGTAATATTATTCCGCAACTCTTCACCAGCGATGAAGACGTGTCCGACCTCGTCTCCCAAGTCATGCCTCTCTGTGCTGCATTCCAGCTCTTCGACGCCTTGGCGGCTAACTGCAACGGTCTGTTGCGCGGTATTGGACGCCAGGAGATTGGGGGATGGGTCAATTTGTTCTTTTACTACGCAGTGGCTATGCCGATCAGTTTCTACACGGCGTTCGGGCTCGGGTGGGAATTGGAGGGACTTTGGAGTGGCGTTGCGCTCGCGCTTGGATTGTGAGTGTAGTCTCGCGTCCGATATCGGGGGAATCTTGCTTGCTGACTTGCGACAGGGTTGCCGCCGCCGAAGGATGGTTCATCTACAAGGCTGATTGGAACAAAGCTGTTGAAGACGCGAAAATGAGGAACAACGACGGCTATTGATAAGAACAAATACATACACCATATACAGAGATGCAGCATCTGATCTTGGACTTGGGGGGATACTGATTTTTGAAGCGGGTTCACGGATACCACTTTTGATAGAAGATATTGACGAATCAAGCTTTAGAGAATGGATTATTGGTGAAATAGCGGTGTCGGAATTTACCCTACTGTTCTGGCATTGATTTTGCATATATTTGTTTATATTGAGCGTCCTGCTCTTGATTCCCTCATTCGGCGGATATTTTTCTTACTACTTAGATACATATGAACTTGTAATATATGTTTAAATAATATGTTTAAATGTAGTAGATGTTTAAATGTAGTATATATACCGTATATATCCCTACTCACTCCCGAGTCCTGTCCCTGGATGCCACATGCTCTACTCCCACTTTTCAGCATGTCATGTGAAAAGTGGATAGATGACGTGCACATAGATAGGTACCGGTCGGTACCTTATGCTTAATAAGTAACAACGTCGGATCAAATGCAGCAACAACGCATTCATTCCTTTGTCCCGAGTCCGATCCTGTGCTGGTAGCGGTCCAGGTTCAGGTCCAGGTCCATCTCCACCTCCACCTCCACCTCCACCTCCACCTCCACCTCCATCTCACTCCTACTCTCAATCACAACCCTTCTTCTTCTTCTTCTTCTTCATCTTCTTCTTCTCCTTCATCTCCATCATGGAACGAGACTCTCATTACCACCACAATTATAACCACAACCACCACCACCACCACCACCACCACAACCACAACCACAACCACAACCCAACATGACCCTCGCCAACACCTCCCCTACACATCTCCACGTCCTACAGAATGCGTCGCTCATCCTCCTCTCCCTCTTCGCACTCCCACTCTGCACCTTCATCGCCGTCCTCAGCAAGCTCATCGGTCCCTACCTCAAGACCACCCGGCACATTGCCCATCGCCGCAGATGGCGCCAGATCTCCTCCTCCACCTTTCGCCCACGAACCATTCTTGTGACCGGCGTAGGGATGAGCAAAGGTCTCAACATTGCCCGCTCCTTCTACCGCGCTGGACACCGCGTGATCGGCGCCGATTTTGAGCCCTACCTGATCCCCGTCTGCGGGCACTTCTCAACTGCCATCGTCGAGTTCTACCGCCTCTCGAAATCGAATTCGGAGCAGGGTTCCGCCACGTACATCAAAGACCTGATCGATATCATCCAGAAGGAAGGTGTTGAACTCTGGGTCCCGTGCTCAGGCATCGCCTCGGGTATCGAGGACGGAGAAGCCGCTGAAGCGATTGAGAAAGAGACGACGTGTAAGGCCATCCAATTCGGTCTCACTCTCACTGAGACTCTGCACGAGAAGCACTTCTTCATAGAAAACACCCGCAACCTGGGTCTCGCAGTTCCAGACACGCATCTCGTGACCTCCGAGACGGAAACGCTCTCAGTCCTGTACCCCGAGAAACTGCGCCCAACCATGCGGTCAAACGACAAGTACATCATGAAGAGCATCCTCCTAGATGACTCGACCCGCTCCGACATGACGCAGCTGCCACTCCCTACCTTGCGAGAGACGGAGGCGCACATCAAGCGGCTGAACCCTACACCCTTCCGGCCCTTCGTGCTGCAGAAATTCATCAGGGGCCCGGAATACTGCACCCAATCGCTGATCATCGGCGGTAAAGTAAAAGCATTCCTCGCCTGCCCCTCTGCCGAGCTTCTCATGTCCTACACGCCTCTCCCTACCTCCTCGGCCCTCTCGCAAGCCATGCTCCTGTACACGACGCTGTACGCGAAGAAGACGGGGACCGGGATGACGGGGCACTTCTCGATCGACTTCCTCGTCGAAGAAGAGGTCGCCCAGGCGGCCGAGACACGGATCGCCGTCAGCGAGAGCGAGCTCGTGGAGCTGATACGCAGGATCTACCCGATCGAGTGCAACCCGCGCGCACATACCGCCGTTGCCTGCCTGAGTGACGTTTCCGATGATCTATCGGACGCCTACCTCTCCCTCCTCTCGGACCACGAGCCGAAGGGTATCGCCAATGGGCACCGCCGCGACGCGCTCGTCGTCCCGAAACCAGGCGTGCCGGGGTACTACTGGATCGGCCACGACCTCATTACGCTAGTCTTCCTCCCTCTCCTGGGTCTCCTCAGGTGTAAAGTTGGGGCCAGGGAGGCGCTGCGGATGTGGATGCGGTTCGTCGAGCACGTGCTCTACTGGCGAGACGGCACCTTTGAGGTCTGGGACCCGTGGCCCGCGTGGTGGCTGTATGTAGGCTACTGGCCGGGCATGTTCCTGATTAGTTTATGGGAGCGGCGATGGTGGAGTCGGTGTAATGTGAGCACGAATAAGATGTTCCATTGTTGATGATTACCTTAGAGGCAGGTACGGGGTCATTTCAGCGGTCCTCTGACCCTCTTTTATAAGAGACGGTCATTGTGCCGACTAAAGTCAGCACTAATCCTTATTAAGGAATAGTTAACCGACCAGACCGTCTCATTGAAAGAGATCGTTTCGTGGCCGTCTTATGGCCGTCCTCGTTTATATTCTTAAAACACACTCGTTAAAGAGCTCGTCGGCTTTGAGGTACCTACGAAGAAGGCTCGACGTTGTGTTTTAACGCGATGATATCCTCAGGTATGCTTTTGATACAGATAGATAGATAGATAGATAGACAGAGTTCAAGAGTAAGCTGGTGGGGTAGCGAACATCCTACCCTCAAGGGGTAATAATTACGCCTGGGACGTAGTATATTTTAAACTTAATACGAACTTCCATGTCTGGCTTTAAAATTGGCTAGCCTCTGCTTATCGTATTCTGACTGCGACTCTGCATGATCCTTTTACGTTACAACCAAGTTCTATCGTATTGAAACCTAGTTAAGGTCCGTCTGATTCAAAGCCAGTATGTACAAACCGGCCGATATGTAGAAACCAAAAGGAGGGGGGGATCGGTATCTGGTTCAGGGCTAAAATTGACGGTAAAAAGTGGATTGTAGAAACTATTTCGCTACCCTACGAACAAAATCAGGACAAACTGTACGGAGAGTCACCATTTGACCTGACCCTACCGTCAGTTTGCGAGTTTGTAGGCTAGCTAAGCCGCGAACATCGGTAGCCTTACAGTAAGTAGGCTTTGCAACAATCTTGGATTTCGTGATACACTTTTACAACTTACGGAGAATTCACGCTGCCTGAGCGATGCTTGCTCGTTTTGGGCATTCTACCCGGGGTATCTCAATGCATCGAATCTCTCAGCATCGGAGCCACCTGCTTCCGACTGTTCTCGACCCTAGACTGGTTCCAACACTTGCGCCAGGTCCCATCTGCAGATTCATTCAAGTCTCCGTCCGTCCAAGCCTCAAGCCCGAGATTCTCCCCAAACTTGGCTTCGAACTTCTTGCACGTCTCGACGCCCTTCTCATCGAGTCCCCAGACCAGCAACTCTCTGCCCTTCGACGATCTAGTCATGACACAGCAAATCGAAAGACACCGCTCCTCGGAGAACTTCCTCACACAGTCGAGGAAAGCATTAGGGCTCGGAGCCTTCCCGACTAAAGATATCATGTCCGTGACAACAGAGCAAACGCCCAGGTTGATTCCAGTCTCTGTCCACGCCTTGAAATCCTTCCTCAATAAATCTGCCAAACTGAAGCCACCCACATCCCTCTCCGCAGTCCAGATTTCCTTGTAATACTCATCCGCGTCAAAATCTTCGCTCTCCCCAGCCGAGATCCAGGTCTTGAGGTACTCCACAGCCTCCACATCGACATCAGTAGTCTTGGCTGCGTTCCCCAAGTTCGACGTATCGATCAGCACTGGTCCCAGGGCAACTCTAGCCAATTCCGCGTCCCATTTCGCCGTCTCGGCAGACTTGGACCTGGCGGACATGGTATCCCACGCTTCTCGGCAGTACTCCACCACCAGACTCGCACAGCTTCCACTCCTCTTCACAACCCGGGGTTCACCACCGCAGTCCCGCGGCACCTTCCCCTCTTCGTCGTGGTGGTCTATGCATCCCACAACTCTGCTGCTGTAGACCTTGCCGAGCGCACCCAGCAGGGCATTGTGGTCAACGAGCAGCCATCTCGACTGCTCGGACGCGTGGCGCGAGGATTCTTCTGACAGGAAACGCACTTCGGAGCGTGTGATTAAATCGCTAGGCTGAAGCTGTGCGCGCCGGAGAACAGGGAGGAGCTCGGGGCGGAGCGTGAGATCGGCGCGTGGGATGTTCGTGAGCGGGATGTAGAGGGTATTTGTGTTTGATGGCGACGAAGCGTAGGTTCGGAGGTAGGCAAGGACTATTGCACTGCAGATGGAGTCGAGGTCTATCGAGATGTTAGCTGCTCAGACTACATTTGAGGATCTCCTCTTCTTCTAGTCCCGATTTTGGCTGAAAATTAATTAACTCCTTTTTTGGATGGTGAGAAGGTTACCTGCTGCTTCGTTGCCCACGACGAAGGTTAAGGGCGGAGATTGCTGGGTCACATTCTGCAGCGCGGATTTGGCGGAGGAGAGGAATGATCTGATGGATACGCGTGGCGTTAGAGGCATTCTGTTAGGATTATTCTAGGAATTAAAATAATCAAGATAGAAACAGCGCATGAGCCATGAATACGTAGATAGTTGGTATTGGAGGGCCGATAGAGAAATTCTTGTGACGCGTTTAACTTTGGCTGATGTCATAAAAGCCGGAGACACGAAGCGAGACCGCTCAGACCTCGTACAGTAATGCGAGCCCCTGAATTTGGCGAGGTCTTTGTTGACATTCCACCTGACATGGCGATGCAGGATTCTATCTGTACGTGGTAGACGGGACCTCAGTTACTTGACGATTTGGCGACACGTAAAAACAAGTTAATATATAGTTATGCGCCTCAGTAAATATACGCTTCCTCTCTCTTTCTTTCTATCGCTTCGTTACAATCAAGGTTATCTCTAGCACCATCTGAATCATGCTTTTATAACTCTGGCAAGCAATTTCTGAAAGCAATTCGATGATGCGGACTACGTAGAGAGGATTTGCAGCTTTTAGATGACGATCAGAGACTTTACATTATGTCGACAGTGAGTCATACAGTCATGCATGTGACTGAAACCTCAACCTGACAGTATACTTATTCTCTCCCTTCCCAATATTCCGAGACTAAAAAATATCATCCCTCGCAGAATGTGTCCCGACAGTGACCATCAATCGAATCAACAGCAAAACATGTGGCCCAGACAAGGAAGCGCGTTCTACGATCCTACCCTTCCGCATAATATTAGACTACCACCACCGGTACCGACTGGACCCCGGCATTACAACGGCCAGCCTCATGAGTCTGTGTTCAGGAGCGTGTACTATAAACTGGAGCACGGCAAAGCGTGTATGTCTATGATGGAGCCACTTGTCGTGTTGGATGGGAATAAGAATCCCCAGTTTAAAGAGGGGTGAAAAGGGCCTTAGAGGCCAAAAATGTATTGAGGGGTGGCTGGTGTGGTGTCGTGCCGTGTGGTACGGGGTATGATAAATGAGCCTTGCCGGGTTTGCTCACGACGGTGGTATTTAGGCTGTAAGGATAAATATCGTTGAGCTCCTTATCATTACTTGACGTACTGCAGCAATCGTGAGTTCTATTAGAGATACTTGATGTAACTGTAAATATCTTCAGGCCTCCTAATTTCTTGATGGTATATTGGCCGACGTCTATATAATTACCACCACGCTTACCTTGACGATATCTTGTCGTTGAACTGCTTAGACCAAACACTAGCGAAAGTCCAGGGTCATTTTCAAATCGCTACGTATGTAGATATTCCAGCCTATTGGGTGATTCACGATCCACGATCCACGATCCACGAATCATGAAACATAATCGCTTCTGAAAATCCTCGTGTCGCTTTATTTGACTCTACCATCGAATAAAATATTAAAGGAAATCGTAAGGCACAACCGTGGACCTCAACCCAGCACTGCCACAGGTGAATGACAATAAATCTTGCCAGTGAAACAAACACCTATATATACACCTCAACATACTCGCGCGCCTGTTCTCAAGGCTATAACCAAAAGGGAGAGTATTTTCTTGTGGCTGGTCTTCCCTCAGCGGGACTGTTGAACCTATGCTTCCTTCCTCTCGTCGTAGCATAAGTACGTCTCTTTCAATACCCTTTCCGAACTTCCAATTAGAAATTGATTTCGGAATCACACTATTCCTATCCTTTAGAGAAACCCGGAGTTGGCATTCTCCACAGGTGCATAGAAGCCAAGTTCAAGTGAGAGACGTCTATCTGGTAAAACGCTCAAAGCATTTCCAAGCACCCTTGTCGACGTTTGGAGTGGTAAAAATGCGTTTGATGACGCTAAACTTAGCAAGCGTGCCTGTTCTCCAAGCGTGCTTGTGGGATTTTCTCAACCAAAGCCGAAATCTCAAGCATGCTGTAGAGAATGGCGGGAGACAATCTGCTTGAGGACTCTGCGCCTCAGAGACCTATAAATCAGAAGCCGAAGCTTAGAAATATCCACAGAGGCTTGGAAATATCTATAGCCCTCCATCGCACTTGAATCCAATCATGAAGGCTACCCGTTCCTCCTGAGCGGAGGTTAAATTTCTTAGCGCATTCTACGCTCAAAGGTCAACTTCTGCTCACCGTGAGGATGGGGTAATAGTGTACAATTGTTAATAGGAAAGGCTAGTCCTCAGCACTAAGATCATAAGTTACGATCAACAATAAGTGTACCGTCAGTTTAGTATAAAACGGCTGATGCGTAGCAAATCCGATTGCGATGATCTCAATCGTAATCCATACTAAACGCATATTCCATCCTGAGCGCTAAACGCCCAGCGCTTGATCTATAAGCTCCAAATACCACACTTCAAAATATATACTTGCCTCAGATCAAGAAACAGAGCTACCAGACGTGCCTGATTAAAGTCCACGCATGTGGCCTCCGCAAGAGAGTAGCCTCTTCTACGACAACTCGTCTTCCCTACATCGGGCTCACGTTTCCGAAGATTGTTCCATCACCGGCCCCAGCCTGAACAGCCAGAAGCTCCAACCTACTATAGCCTATAGAGCCACAGGATACGGGTGATGGAGCCTCGGCCCCGTGGTGGCGTTTGCAAAGGGGAGACAAGTGCATGGTTAAATTCAGCCCCCAGCCTAGGAGTTGAAAAACATCTTGGGCATCAAGGCAGCAAGCATATCATGATGTTCACAGAGGTGTGTGCACATATCAAGAACCAGCCCGATGTATTTACATTTGTTGTCGTCTGGACACTGTTATTAAGCGAGCCGTCCAACGCCCTAGTTTAGCAAAGTGAACTCCTCCCTCACCTCCGTAGGGAGCCGCGTATCATTAAGAGTTGAAAGGAGATTCACCTCAGTCATCAGCCAGAACAACTCCCACCTCTTCCTCTCACTAGCTAGACAATACAACACTCAATCTCAATCTCAATCTCAATCTCTACCTCGACCTCGATCTCGAGCACAAGAGACCCTTCATTGACCTCCTTCTCAACTGATGAGCTGCTCGTGCACTCCAGCGCTTTATACGACAACCAGACCAACCCAATTGACCGCGTATCCTCCTTCGGACATCTCGCACGTAACGATCTGCCTAGCGCACAAGTGTCCCGGTGCATCAGGCCCGGTCAACTTGAAGAATGGCAAGGTCATCGCCCCCGGCAACTGCGAGAAAGAACCCCTTTACACGCGCTGGTGCAAACGCCATGAGCACATGTGCCTCAAGCACAGGCAGGTCTGCTTAAGGAAGGACGACTGTAAGAAGTGCGCGGACCAGAACCAGCAAGTCTCTCTGCTGTGCAACATGTCCGCTCTGAGTGAGACCTCTTCGAACTAATTTCTTTATCGTGGGCAACGTAATTGAGTTGTTTGGTAGGAGATGAAAAGCTGGTGACCCGGTGCGCAGGAGAATATTACGCTTAGAGGGAACCAGTATAAATGGAAGTATCGTGAGAAGAACACGAAACCGCTTCCTTTGATGGTATTTCATTTCTTATTCGTTATGCACTTCCGCTATTAAAGACCTCTCTCCTACCCCGGGTGGCCAGACCATCTGATCTTTTCAATGACTATGATACCGCTGCCTCACGGTCGTGACTTCATAGCAGTGATCTCTTTCGAGTTTCTGATAGACACGGTTCCATCCTCCATGCCAAAGTATGCCGCAACAGGCTTCTGACCACCGCCTTCTTCGCCTGCGCTGGCAACTTGAATGCCATTTCTGCCGTGGAACAGGCCGACCTCTAGAACTCCCACGATTCTCTTCAATCTCAGGGCCAGGTTATGGACCTCCCACGTGCCATTCTCGCCGTCGCCTTTATCCTGGCCGGTCAAGTCGGAGGGAAGAAGCACCTTAGGGAAAGGTGCATCTATGATCCACATGCCGTTATCTGTTACTACCGGTCCAGCCTTTGCGCTTCCGCCCTGTCTGATCCTTGGGTCGGGAGAGCCAAGGGTGATAAGAATTCGCTTGATCGTAGGAGCAGCTAGCGGGGAGATCTCGATGGGAATCGTTTTCCAATTCGTAAGAAGTCGAGAAGAGAGTTTTCGGTAATCTGCCATTCTGTTAGGGTTCATGGTTGCCCGTCTTTCGAAGTGATCTAGCACTGACCTGCAACGCAAACGAACTTTTTGGCTGTAGTGGTCACCAACTTCTCTTGGAACAAACAAGCTCCGCCGCCCTTGATACAATTCAAGTCCTCGTCAATCTCATCAGCTCCATCGAAGGCAACATCTAGACTTTGCTGTTTGCCTTTTAAACCCAAGTCTTGCACACCGGTAGCAACGTGGAGTGCTGAGAGACCGCTCAACTCCGACTCGGCGACTTTAACTGGGGGTAAAGCATCGATGCTTCCTAGCTGAAGGCCTGCCTCGATGATCAACTGCTTGCTCTGTTGCCCAGTAGGCACGAAAACCATGTGCGACGTAACATCTCGTCCTTTGGCAGCTATCGCTTCGACTACGTAGACAACTGTGCTCCCGGACCCGATTCCAATGTAGTGGTAAGAAGGATCGAAGTGGTCCTCGACCGCCTTGTACGCTGCCAACCGCTTCGAGGCTTCGACTCCAGCCGGGGCTGCGATGATGTGGGGAGGTGCAGCGCTTTCGGGGGCGGGGGCTGGGGCTGGGGCAGAGGTGGCCATTGATCGGCGATTTGGGTATGTGTTGTTGTTGTTGTTGTTGGAGAGAAGTGGTTTGGGATGTATTGTTCTAGAGAAGTGACTGAACCGTCTATGGTTCTGAGAGGGATCTATGGACCTACGTATAGGTAGGTAATGGTACCGGTAGTGGGACTTGACGGCGCAACTTTTGGCGCCCTTCCCTAGAGTGGGGAAAAATAACATGTCCAGGAAAGAGCCCCCAAAGTTGCGACGTCCAGTCCCACTATTATACTCTATTATATACCGTAGTACGGGGTAATAGTGGGCCTTGACGTCGCAACTTTTGGGGCCCTTCCCTAAAGTGGGCGAAAAAATTATGTCCCGCGAAAAAATTATGTCCCGCTTCAACGCTAAAAATCGCGGGGAACGTAGACACTTCAACAACACTTCAACACAATATTTTCCATCAAACATTGACCTACGTACCTAAATAAAAATGAGTAAAAAACGCGCGCGCGCTCTTACACCTCTTGATCTTAATTCTGAATACTAGAAGCTCTTAAAAGCTTCTTAACATGAGCGAATACAGCTAGCATTCGAATAGCTCTTCGAAAACCCTTTCGAAACACCTCTTATTGCGAGTCGCATTCATATGATAGAGAAGCCTGATACTTTAAAGCGAAGATAGAATAGGTATCAAGCTAAACAAGCTCGATTGAAAGAAGGGAAAGCGCTACAAGTAGGAAGGCTTATAGTTCTATTAGTAGCATAGCACAAAGCTATTTTGATCTACGCCGCAGATCAAGCAACTAAAGGAGGGAAAGGAGCTATGTCGGTATATCCATATCGACCTTAGCTAGCTAGTAGTAGTAGTTGGGGAAGCTCACCCATGAACCATGGTTCACGGGCCACTTGGCATGCCTCGCTTAGCATGTCAGCAGTCAAAGGACCCCCAACTTGACAAGTAAGCCTATTAGTTAGCTAGTGCACGTAATTCCTTCTAGTCTTATAGAAAGAATCAGCTCCCCTGAATCTTGGAGAGCAAACAGAATTCAGATACCTTATCAACCGAATGTTTTGCAATTGCAAGTACTTTAACGACCGTTACGACCTTACGAATATATATTCCTAATCGCTTAAAAGCAATCTAACACTAATCAGTGATTGAATTACTACTAAGTGATCAATCACAGAGAAGCTAAGACTCTATAGCGAGGATACCTTTTACTACGATACCTCCCTCCTTTTACAACGGAAGAGCGATTCCGTACCAAGTCGCTTTCTTACACCCCGATACTTTTACCTTACAACAGAAGAGCGATTCCGTACCAAGTCGCTTCCTATACTACCGATTTTCCCCTATTCCTACGGAAGAGTAATTCCGAACCAAGTCACTTTTATACAACCTTTAAAGCTGTAAAGCCGCGCCTGCTATACACAGCAAACCTAACCAACACGATCGATCTACGTACGAGCAGACAACAACTATGGCCGATCGAGCAACTGAACCTTTAAGTAAAGAGTCCAGCCGACAAAGAGCAGTAAGGTATTATACCCTTCGAGTCTCATCACCACCCACGGAACCCCCAGCTATTTAGCCAAAAGGACCACTATACCCAAGACTCCTAAGCCTCTCGGAAGGACCACACGACGAGATGTCGAGCATCTCATTTGACTTAAACGAGCTACTATACGCAAGGCCAGACAGTAAGATCACGGCCCGAGCGATAGTGAACGACTTCCTAGATGCGAAGTGTAAAAGGCTGAAGGATTACGACTTGTAAAGCTTATTCCGGCACGCTTTCTTACGCTAGGATTAGACCAGTTTTACAATGACGAGGGACAATACGAGACGAGGCCTTAAGTTTGCTACCTTTATTAGCCTCAAGGAACACTTGCTGTCCAAAGGCGTGTAGTGCCCTCTAAAGCAAAAGGGCTACGCTAATAGGATGGTCAAGCTCTTGAACGACGAGCAGCAACACTAATAGACCTTCCAAGAAATAAAAGAGCAACAAGCAACACCCTTAAGCCTCGATTCAAGGTGGACCGAAAACCTTACGGACGACGAAGATAATACGCCTCAACCACCTTCACCACCTTTACGAAGTCTAAAAAGGAAAGAGAAAGAAGAGAAAGAAGAGATTCGGAAGTTACGCGAAGAGTTTGCGAAAAAGAGGAAAGATATAGAGCAAAATATAAAAGTGATAGCAAAGCAAATAACGGAATTACGGACCTACGCTATACAATCCAATAAAGAGCTACGACGAAGCACTTTAGCGTACTCGACGCTCTCAATTCATCAATCGCTACGCAATACGCTAATCATACAAGAGCCAAAATCACTTCAGCGGCCTTCAAACCCCTTTTTTAAAAGCTACACCCAGTTTTCTAAAAAGCCTAGACCGAATAGCAACAAAAATAGTCCTGAGATCATCATCGGACCAGACAACACTCGAAGCTACGAGAGCTATACGCCAAAAGAAGACCCGCCAAAACCTAAGAGCATTCCGGACAAAATCAGCTCTCGCCAAAGACAGCGTGCAGATTTCCGTGCCCAACTTAAGCAACTCGAAAAAGGAATTCAACAACCCGAAAAAAGGATCCAGCACCCTCGGACGTACCGACAAGCTCCCTAGATCCCTTAACAAGCTACGTATCGACAAGAGGGATACTAAGGGTATAAGAATCGCCAAGAACGCGCCCAAGGGTACGGATATCACCAAGCTAGAGCCCCGGCTAGTGACTTAAATAGCCTTAGCGATCTTGACGATGACCGACGAAAAGGAAACGAGAGAGATTGGCAAAGAGATCGAGGCTACGGATACGGAAGGGGTAAGAACGGGCCCCCTGGACTACCAAAGGGATTCGGAAACGGACCCTCAAAGGACCCCGGATTCGGAAATGAGCCTCCTAAAGACCTTAGAAAAAGACGGACCACCGGCAACTATATCGGTAACCCCTTACCGATCAGACCATTAGCTAAGCACAACACGCTTGCGTACGGCACTCCAAGCGCCCTTAACGATAATGGTAACGATTTCCTTGAGCTAAGAGCAACTGACCCTCACCTAAGAGCAAAGGAGTTGGCCTTGTTTGCAAGAAGCTTTCTTAAGGAATTAAAGTATTCGAGACCCGACGATGACTTCAAGACCCAATTAAGTATTTTCGCTGACCAAGCAAGTCGGTACGGCCTGACATCCGACGACTATTTAGTAGCGTTCTTAATTATGCTTACGAAAGAGGCTATAACCTTCTATTACAATCATATGATAAAGGCCAAGCTTCCGACGTTTAAAGCAAACGCTATTGCTATAAAAGACCACTTCGAGACTGACTACCGGCGGCAAGCAAAATACGACCGCTAAAAGAAAATTTCGCTAGATTTAGTCAAGAAAGAGAATCCAAAGACCTCGCTTAGCGAGTGCTTTAAGAAGCTCGCTAAAGAGCTCAAGGGCATTCAAAGCTCTTTACGACCAGGTTTAAAAGACGATCGAAGTCTTGCTGATAAGCTGTATTCAGCTTATAAAAACGTGCCAAAGACTACGATTGCACGAATGAACCTTGCGTTTACTTCCACCGCCGCAATTGCCGACATCCGCCGAGCAATTGCATTTGCAACTGAGTCCTCTCGACCCGCTAAGGCTAAAGCTTACGCGAGCTCTAGCGAGCCACACGACCACACCTACTTTCAGCACAACACCTCAAAGGCTGACTCCGATTTGGACGAGGAATACGAATGCTTTATTCAAAACCGCTAATACTTCGAAAGTAAAAAAGCTGCCAAGGCTACTGAAGGTGAAAAAAAGTGTTTTGTTTGCAAAAAGCCAGGTTGCTAGAGCACCAACCACACCCCCGACGAGAGAAAAGCATCTATTGCCAAGTTCCAGGCTTCTAAAGACGTAAAAAAAGTGACGAGAAGCAAATTCTCTTAATACGTAGCATCGATTGAAAGCTTGCTACTTGTATCTACGGAAGAATTCGATCAGTTTATCGCAAGCCTACCAGACGAGCCGCCCGAATCGAGCAGCTACGCTAACATATCAAAAGGTTTTGTAACTACCTACGGCACCTTTAACGCTAACGAAGTATACAAGCAACTAGAGATTCAGACGGCATTCCACGCCTTTACCAGCCAAATCGAGACCCAAAACGTGCCTACGAGCAAAGCAAAGACCTATATAGCTTCCAAGTATTCTGAAAACGTGTTCATAAGCCTTATGATTGACAGCGGAGCAGCCAATTTCTCTACCGCTAGCTTGCCCCAGCTACGAGCACTTTAAAAGAAGTACCCCGAAGTCCAATTAAATACATCCCGAGCAAAAGAAAAGTCCGTTAAATACGAGATTAGCTTTGCCACTTCTATTAGAGCAGTTACCTTAGAAACGCCTTTAAGTCAAGTGGAGTTCTACGTTATAAAGAGCGACGTACCCTTTTTATTCTCGTTAGCTGATATAAACAAGCATAAAGTGATCCTAGATAACTTGCGGAACGTGCTAGTCCAAAAGAAGAAGGAGATACTAGTAGTAAGGATGTTTAAGCACGTATGGATGCTATTAAGTAAGAAGCACGCTGCTACTTATTATAGCACCGAAAGCGAGACCGTCTATTATCACTTTACGGAAAAACAATTAAAGACTATCTATAAGCGTTTTAGCTACCCTTCAGCAGATCGATTTGCTGCTGTTCTCAAGAGAGCCGAGCACGAATTCAGACGGGATTTGCTTTACAACATCCAAAAGTTTTGCTACTATTGCTAAGTATTCGAACGCTCTCCAAAGAGGTTTAGTATCAAACTCAAAGATGATATTAACTTCAATAACACGGTATACGTCGATGTGATGCACCTTGACGGCAAGAACGTATTGCACGTCGTTTGCGACTTTACTAATTTTCAAGCCGCCACTTTCCTTAAAAGCATGTCCGTACAGCATTTACTTAAAGGATTCAGTCGATGTTAGGTCAATACTTACGTCGGACCCTTTACAAACGTAATGCACGATCCCGGAACCAACTTCAATTCAACAACGTTCCGAAGCTACCTCAAAGGTATTAGCAGCATTCTAAAGCAGATGCTTATAAAGGCCCATCATAGCGTCGGGCTAGTAGAACGCTACCACGTCCTTGTGCGACGCGCCTTTAAGATCGTCACAAAAAAGCTTCCAAAGGCCCTAAGAGAAGACCGGCTTCAAATAGCTATCAAAGCCATTAACGATACAGCTGGACCTAATAGCCTAGTTCCTACACTCCTCGTTTTTAAGACCTTACTAAAGCTAACGGAACAAGATCGACCTGCCGCGTCTACCCAAGAGCGTGCTGCTGCCATTAACAAGGCTATAAAGGAAGTACGAAAATGCCACGCTGCAAAGCAAGTTAAAGACGCGCTTAAGAAAAAGAATAGGCCAATTACGGAGCATACCCTAGACCTCCCTATTAGTTCACGGGTACTCGTATAGCGGGAAAACCAAAGGTAGAAGGGCCCCTTTCAGCTGCTTGGCAAGCAAAGGCACACGTGCACAATAGCATGTCCGAGGCCTACGGAATTCAAGTCAACCTTAGTAAAACCTTACTACTCTGAAGTTAAAAAGCTGCTAGAAGAGTTGCAAGTACCTAAGATAAAGGTAAAAGAAGATCAAAGTGAAAGCGACGAAGGCGAAAAAGAGCTAGAACTACGAAATTCGCTTAAACCTTAACATTCGCTTAATCCACCGAGGTCGCTTAATCCAAGAAGCTCGCCAAGATCAGCAAACGACCCCCTTCAACTTATCAATTCCTAGAGATCAACAATACTAATGGTCTAAATACCTTACTAGAAGTACAATCTTAGTATCCCGACCGTGCCCGACGAAAAGGAGGGCGATTCTTACGTTCTATTTACCAAGGACTCCGAGGTGCTAGTTACCGACAAGGAACGCCGAGACCATAAGCTCTCAGCTAAGCTACGAGCCGAAGGAATCATTAAGAGCCTTAAAGCACTATTTCAAAAGTCTAAAGCAAAGGAATTAGCTGGATTGATAGCTCAAGGCATCCTTTAAGTGATCCCGAGCACCGATCCACGTGCTAAAGGCGCCAGGATCTTTAGATCTAAGTTTGTTGACGAGATTAAGGACAAAAGAACACTTACGCTATACGAGAAGTCTCGTATGGTGGTCCAAGCCTTCTAAGACAAAGGCAAGACGAGGGTACTCACCGAGTCTCCTACGGTACAGCGAGCGGGCCAAAGACTCTGTTACGCTTTAGCTCCCTCTCTGATAAAGGACTACGGGTGCCAGGTCTATAATAAAGATATCACACAAGCTTACACTCAGTCAAGCACGAAGCTTATACGAATAATCGTCGTGCGACCACTTAAGGAGATCACCCATCGATTCCCCCTCGGCACTTTGTTCCTTATGACTGGCCCTTTATACGGCATCCCCGAAGCAGGAACGCACTAGTATAAGCGTTTTTCAAAGCATTTCACGGACAACCTCGAGATGAGGCAATCGAGCTTTGATTCTTGCCTCTTTGTATTAACTAACAAAGATCAGCTAAGAATAGCTGCCTTACAAACGGACGATATTCTCATAGTTATCAATCCAGCCATAAAAGCAAGAGAAGAGAAGGAGCTGGTCAAATCCAAGCTAAAGAGCAAGGAAATAGAGACCCTTATACACGCCGAACCGATGATTTTCAATAGATGCAAGCTATCCTTGGATAAAGACGGGTTCGGGTTGTTAGTTAGGCAGAAAAAGCAGAGTGAAAGGCTTGCCGTGATCAAGCTTGATTCAGCCACACGAGCTAAGGAGTACTTAGAGCAACGTGCCCGAAGAGCGTATTTAGCTACCATTTGCTACCCAGAAGCATCTTGCGCTCTATCGATAGCTGCTTAGCACTAAGAACCAAGGGACGAGGACTACAAGGCCCTTAATAAAGTGATCTAGTAGCTGATCGATCACCCAACTCGAAGGATCCACTACGTGCCCTTAGACCTAAGGACGGCGAAGCTCTTTGTGTTCGTAGATAGAGCGTTTGTTAACAACGCTAACCTTAACTCTTAGATCGGTTTCGTAGCTATCCTTAGCAATAAGGCTTACGTAAGTGAGAACGAGTTCATTCTGACGAGTAACATCCTTTATTAAGTGTCACAGAAGTGCAAAAGAGTGACAAGGGCAGTATTAGCCTCTGAGCTATACGCTATGTCCTTAAGTATCGATATGGCCATTGCTATGTCGACCACCTTTGTTTAAATCACAGCCCAGCTAAGAATCCTTAATTTCCCCGTAGTAGTGTGCACTAACTCTTACTCGCTTTACGAATGCATAGTAAAGCTAGGAACTACTAAAGAGAAGCGCTTTATAATCGATATTATAGCTATTCGAGAGTCATACGAGAAGCGAGAGCTCTCTAAGGTACGCTAGATCGGAGGCAAATCTAACCCTGCTAACGCTATAACCAAAATCGAGGCCAATTCCTCTTTGCAAGAGCTAGTTTTAATTAATACCTTGAAGGTGCAAGTGGACGGGTAGATAGAAAGGCCGCTGTAAGAGAGGGAGGGATAAGATTGTTTTTCTTTTGTTTAATTACCTTCCTTCCTTTTTCGGTCGATATGATAGTTAGCAAGGCACTGCTTGCCAAAGAAAGAGTTGCCGGTGTCGGTATATCTATATCGACCTTAGCTAGCTAGTAGTAGTAGTTAAAGAAGCTCACCTATGAACCATGGTTCACGGGCCACTTAGCATGCCTCGCTTAGCATGTCAGCAGTCAAGGGACCCCCAACTTGACAAGTAAGCCTATTAGTTAGCTAGTGCACGTGATTCCTTTTAGTCTTATAGAAGGAATCAGCTCCCTTGAATCTTAGGAAGCAGACAGAATTCAGATACCTTATCAACCGAGTGTTTTGCAATTGCAAGTACTTTAACGACCGTTACGACCTTACGAATATATATTCCCAATCGCTTGGAAGCAATCCAACAAGCTATTAAGCGTATGCTTTATCGATGCATTTGCTACTTTAAAATACAAGAAAATAAGCTAGAACCTTCTTAGCGTTAGTTTCAATCTTAGTTAAGAAATACAACAGAACTCTATGCTATACGGACCAAACCAATCGCATCTTATCGCGTCGATATGCATATCGAGAAATCTCTCTTTAACTGATTTTATACCGAGCTTGTTCCTGCTATCCAGTTCTGCGGAATTAAGCTTAAAGATAAGCATAGAATCGCAAATATAAATGAGAAAGGCGCGCGGATTTGTATGCCGGCTGAAGAAAAAGTTATCGTACTTATCGGAATCAAAGAGATGTATACAAGAATCTATGAAAATCGACTATCCGTAATTATGATCGAAGCTATTCTTGCCGATAGAAAAGCTATTCCTCTAATGATTATTATGCTCGGAAAGCAAATTATAGCGTCTTGGTTTTCCGAAAAAATGATTGGACATAAAGTTGTTACTATTTTCGAATCCGGTTATACGAACGATAAGATTATTATAAAGTGGCTTAAGCACTTTATTAAGCATACCGATCAAGGACTCGATAAACCGTGGATGATATTATTACTTGATGGTCAGCTTTGCTACGAAGCTTTAAATTTCATTTTATTAGCTAAACAAAATCGTATATAGCTTATTAAATTCCTTTCTTATTAAACTCATCTTTTACAACCTCTCGATATCGGCTGCTTTCGCACTTGGAAACATAATCAACAATGTGCTATCATAGATGCTATTCGAAGCTTCGAAGCTGAATATACTATCTTATCGTTTATGCGAGACCTTCTTCAAATTCGCGAGCAAACCTTTACAACTCGGAATATCAAACACGCTTTTCGAGATGCAAGAATATAGCCGATCAGCTTTTCTTAAATTTAACGCAAATTGAAAGAGTATAGTAAAAAGAATAAGAAAGAAGCGAGATTGCATATACTCGAGTACGAAGAAACGTCTGATCTTAAAGAAGAAGATGAATATTCTTTTTCAATCGATAAGCAACTTGACGAATTACTTCTTTTTGCGCTACTTCGACCTCTTTAATCTTTTCAAGATTGCGTAAAGCAACTCGACGATCTAAACGATAAAATCAGAATAGCTCTTTCTTCTCTTAGTCGCTAACGCTTCGATATCGCGAAACAAAGTACCGAGACTTAGTTATTACGAAAAAGCCTTGATCAAGCAGAACTCGATAAAAATTAAAAGCTTTAGCGCGATACACATCGGAAAAAGCTGATTGGAAGGTCGAGTTTGCAAACGGAAGGGAATATACTAGCTTTTAAAGCACTCGAAAAAGTCAAGGTTATAGAGATAAAAAAGCAAGAAGCTAGTCTTAAGATAGCGAACGCTAAACTCAAGTCAGCAACGATTAAAATTCGAAACGATCGTTATAATCAAAGAGTTTTTGATCGGAAAGCCGAAAAAGAGCGAAAGAAATGGTTGAACGAAGCGTATAAGCAATAAGGTCGAAAGATTCTTATACACATTCTACCCGAACGAAAAGTCTTTATTCGAGACCGCGAAAAGCAACTTACAGCAAAAGAACTAGAAGCTGATAATATTAATCTGATTTCTTTTCGAGACGCAGTTGCAAACGAAGAAGCTGCGTTAAAAGAAGTTCAAGAAAGAGATCTTGTTATATTCGCGGACCCTTCGTATTCAATCGATCTTTAAATCTTTACAAAGGAAAAACGCTTTCGAATCAAACAAAACCTATTATCTTGCATTCAAATTAACGATGACGACGAAGATGAAAGATTAAATACTTTACCTTCGTCTCCTTTAGCAAAAATAATGCTTATTAAGTAAGAAAAGCTTAAAAAAGAGCTTGAAGAGAAAGAAGATTCGATATCGATTCGATCTGTAGCATCTTTTAATTCAATTCAAAGGACACGCGGTGAAATAATTTTTTCGTAGCTTAATTGAGAATGAATAACATTATTAAATATATATATATATATATTATTACAGCGTTATAAGCAATGTTATAAGCAATATAAGTGTCTACGTTCCCCGCGATTTTTAGCGTTAAAGCGGGACATAATTTTTTCGCGGGACATAATTTTTTCGCCCACTTTAAGGAAGGGCCCCAAAAGTTGCGACGTCAAGGCCCACTATTAATTCAGGAAAGACAGCCTGCGCTAGCCGTTTAGCGTCCGTCCTTGGCAAACGGGGGGGATTAATGGTTACGCCGCTCCGGGTACAACGACCTGCTTTCAAGTTTCCCCTGGTTGAATTGCTTAGTCCCCGATCCAAACCCCTGCGGTAAACACCATCTACCGTCTTTTCAGTCAATCATATCCCAAACACCTCCCCAACCTCCGCATCAGCCTCAACCAACGGCCTCAACTCCTCCCTCATATCGACTCTCCCCTCAACAGCCCTAACCAACAGCCTCCCCACAACGGCCATCGACTCCCAAAGTCTCGCCATCCGTACATCTTCCCTGCCCAATTGAAATACGTGCACAGTCTCCTTACACACCACCAGCATCCTCACCACTTCGATGCGCCATGCCTCCTCCCCGATCCGGGCCCAGCAGTTCAGGATCACGACCTGTAGCGTCCGCAGCGCCTGCTGGATGAGGTCGTAGCGCGGCACGCAGAAGGCTTGGGCGAGCATTGGGATGATGGACTTGAGGTGCTTGACGGCGTGCATGCCGAGTTTCTCGACGATGGGGGAGACGTGGGCGAGCAGGACGATAGTTATGGCGGAGGAGTGGGAGGAGGAGGAGGTGTGGGAGGCGGCGGGTAGAATTCCTCTGCGGAAGACACGGTCGAGGAAGTGGAGGCGTTGGTGCTGCTCGGTTTCGGCAATGGCTTTTGAGGAGCGGTTGATAGTGGCTTTTACTGTTCCCATCTCTGTTTCTGTCTCTGTTTTTGCGGGAGAAGGATGGGGGGTGGGCTGGAATCGCGCGGTGTAGAGGGCGAAGAGTGCTGAGTATGCTGCGGGTAGGATGAGGAGGGAGTCTTCGAGAGGCGTGATGGAGGGGAGGTATAGAGTAGTAGGCAGAATAGCTTCTTCGAAGACGGAGAAGAGGCCTGTTTGCGTGAGAAGTTGGGGCTTGGTAGAAAGGCGAGGGAGGAAAGTGGTTGTGAGATTGAGACCCCGGACTAGGAGCGGGGTCGTGGGGGTGTCGAGCAGCGTCAAAAGCGGTGGAATTATGAGAGGCCAGGAAGTCAAGATTATCTCATCCTATGGTATGATAGTTAATATCAAATCTAACTAATAGAATAAAGAATTTATAAGTATATTCACGAAGAAGGGGGGAATACCGAAGCGTTCTGAACAGCCCACTCCAGCACAGCGATCGAATATGGCACCTCATACCTCCATGGTTGACTTTTCTTCTCGTTCACAAAGTCGTGGCGCTTGGGAGGTGCAGTGCTGGGCATTGCTTTTCGGCCAGCTGTCGTGATGGACTCGGGCTTTGAGGCTGAGAAGAGCGGGCGGGTGAATTCTTGTAGGAGCTTCTGAGGGATGAATTCTGGGTTGGAAGTGTACCGCTGGATCGAGGGCAGGGAGAAGAACTGCTGGGCGATTGAGGCGGATTCTGATGTCGTCCATGGGTCCTTCTGTGAGGTAAAAGCTAAAACCGAGAGTAATACCCTGGTGTCTGGAACGGAGTCGTTGAGTCTGCAGAGAACCTGGAGACTTTTGAGGCCAAGAGTTCCTTTGCGCTGGGCTAGCCGGAGAGCTTCATTTCGTGACGAGGAAGGTTTGTCTGCGTGAGATTTAGATACGGGCTCTGGGAATCTCGATTGATGTTGTACCTTCAAACGCTTCATTTTCAGACACGCAGTCCCCACCCGGTACGATGGCTTTCGAAACCCATAATGAGAGCTTGATGGATGATTCCTCATCGTTATCCTCTCTCTGGAGCCTCTCGAATTCATCGAAACAGCCACTCAGTATGAGGAGGCTTTCGAGTTGATCTTCATCGGTAACCAGCTCATCGCAAATCTGGGCGAGCGAGTAGCTTTCAGGCAACACTAGCAAAACGTCAGGACCTCTATAATTAAAGCCATCAAGGCGAGGCTTACATGAAGACAGCAACTCGGCCTCATTTACATTTACTTTGTTCTGTAACTGGGCTTTCACGGCAGTGCGGACACTTTCGAACATAACGGCGTTTGTGTCTTGAGTTGATGCTGGGACATGGTTTTTTGAGGTTCGCGAAATTGAAGTTGGTTGCTGCAAGCGAGACTCTATAAGTAACTTATGATGTACTCGCCCCTTCCTAGTGATCAGGGAGCGACCACTTTCGAATCTCTGATTCTATTAATCGTACAGCCCATATTAAACATGACGCAAAGGGCATTTTGTTTCAAAAATTTAATCCCTATCCAAGGTCTACAAGATGCAGATTCAACGCGAGGCCACCCATGGAAATAACAATGAGTATGTCAGTAGCAGAAGCATTGTATTCAGCTAGTTTAAATTACTTATGTGGCAACTGAGCAATTATTTACTTCTAGCAGAGTTCAATGGTAAATCCGAGGACTTTGCCCAGTAAGCGGCAGCAAAACCTTTCACTTGCTGAAGGTTGAACAGCCCGTCAATGCCAAATCAGGCAGGGCTGGAGTCTTCGGAACCTGCTCATGTGGACTAAGAGCCTTTTATTATGGCATTCTTACTTTGGCGCGGGTATCTTCAACTCCTCACGTCGCTTCTTCACCTCCTCAATAGCCCCCGCATAGTCCTTCACACCCTGGTTGCGAAGCTGCCACTCCATGACCACATCCAATGCAGGTCGCATCCAGATGCCAGGTTTAATGCCACCGAGTTCTTTGCACAAAACTTTGCCGTCAATGATGCTCTTCTCACCTGCCGCATCCATGATATCCATGCCCTCCAGGTGGTCGATGAATTCTTGCCACTCACTGAACAGAGTTCCGTATGCTGATGAGGTTAGTACGGATCGCTCAACTGAAAGGAAGATTGGCTCACATGTTGAGGCTTGGTTGAAAGCATCAACGAGGATAGCGAAAAGAGCCTGGAGCCGCCAGTGCCCACCTTGAGCATCCCATCTGCGAATTGTCATTCCCACAGTATCTCGCTGACTGGAGCGAACATCTTTCCGTTTGATCGCATTCTTCAGCTCTGTGATTTCCTCGCGATGTCTGAAAGCCCCAGTGATCACATTGCAGATCTTACTTTCTAACTTTAGACCCTCTCTAGCGACTTTGAACCCAAGCGGTAGCGGAATCTTGTAGCTGCCATTTGCTGGCCGAGGGAGTGGAAATTGTGATAAGGGAGTGAGAGCTGCTAGGATCCACGAAAGATACTTGGCATCGTCTGAGCGAACCAAGGATTTGTAGACTGAACCTGGCGTCTCATTGGATTTGAGCTGGTCCAAGCACTCGTAAACAACAGGCCAGTGAGTAGTTTCTGGTACGGGGTTTCCTTCCGTGGTAGGATCGGTGAAGATGGTAGAGTAGAGTCCAAGTCTGTTGATCAATGCAAGGGAACCCTTCGGATCACGACCTATCTTTGTATTAGTATGATCGGATAAGCTTGGACCTTGGTTGGACGGACCTTTCAACATTTTCTCAAGCTCAACACCTACCCGCTCTCTGCTGATCTTGAGCTTCAGAGCTTCCATGACAACAGGATCACCCATAGCGGCCTCGGATGCAGCATCGATATTGAAGTCTAAGCGGCTTGCAAACCGGATCAATCTCAGTACTCGCAAAGGATCATCTGTGAATGTTGTCTTGGGCTCAAGAGGAGTTTGAATGCGGCGTGCAGCGAGATCTTCGAGACCAGACGTGAAGTCCTCAACCAGATCCGTACCCAGATTATAGAACAGAGCATTAATGGTAGCATCTCGTCTCAAAGAATCCTCTTCCGCAGTACCAAATTCCATTTGCGGATTGCGACTGTCGTCTGAATAGGTCTCCTTCCGCAAATTGACAAAATCCACATCAAATCCAAAGATCTTGGTGGTAGCAGTCTCAAGATGCTTCGATTTTTCCGGGTTCGCGAGAATCTTGTGCAGATTTCCCAGATCCTTGGCCTCCAAGGCGTGCTTCTTCAAGTTCTCCTCATCCTTGAGATACTCTTGCATCTTGGTACTGAAGGCATAGCCTGTCATAGCGTTAATGGCCGTATCGATATCATGACTTGGGATACCCAGGAGCTTGTCCCGGACCCAACCTCCTGCAAATCGGAGCTCAATCTTCTCCTTGATCTGCTTGGACTCATCGATATAGCGGGCAACATCGAGCAGTAGCTCTCTCAGCTGGCTTTCCCGTGGCGTGAGGTTGATCTTTCTGGTCGCCATGTTTCCTCTCAACTTCTTTGCCGGGCGAATCTCCTCACCTGCGGCTTCTTTGCGTTTCATATGAGAACATAGAGAAAATGCCCTGGTGAAAGTCACTGAAAATGTAACTCGACTGGTCCTGAAGAGGTAATCGGTATTGAGTGTGTTTCGGCGAAGATTCATCAGCTCAGTCTGGATTATGAGGAAAGCTCGCAAATATAGGTCATAAATTGTAGCTCATGTACCGGTGACCATTAAATTTGCTGTGAATTCCACATCCTTGAGATACGCCTCTAGTAAGGAAAAATCGCAAACCTGCAAAATTCTAGGTCACGTGGAGATAGCGCTTGTTCTCAGGAGATCATTGCTGTCTCGAGTTATATCGAGATGCGCCTCCAGGTTTCCTCATTGTACAGCGGAGTGAGCGGCTCAAAGAAATCTGTCGGAAGAAAAAATCACTACTCAAGCTCATGTTGATTACAGCAAATGTGATAGGTATTCTCTGTGACAAGGTCTACAGCCTCATCAAAGCAATTCCGAACCGGATTCAGTGCTTACATCTGGATATCTGTTACCCAAGCGCATGTTGATGCGCAGGCTCAGGTCTCTGGGGGACCGAACGAACTCTACTTACTGAGGCCTCAGAATCCTGCGCCTGTCTTCATGACATCTCCTAATGATGCGGCGCCCTTCCAGCCTCCGGAACTGCCAACCGGCGTCGCCAACCCGAGACGGCCAAAGATCAGGGCTTCGACAGATTCTATGGCATCTTCAGTCTCGAATCTGCCATACCGAGCGTCTAATCCCTCTGTTTTGTCCCTCTTCGCGTCAACATCCACGCCAACTGGCTCCCGATCTGCCTCCCCAAGCGGACTCGGAACCTCCTCTCGAATGTCAGGCTCGGTATTTGGAGGAACACCAGGAGAAGGAACACAGATTGCTTCAGCAGATCTGCCAGAGGACCCTCGAAATCTCATTCTGCAGGCTTTCGTACCACATATTGCAGTCCATACCTCTACAGACACACAGGAACTAGTGAAGGACAAGGGCTTTGATGGGGGGCTTTGGGAATTACTGCGGCCATTCGGAGAGCGTGTACAAGGGAAGGTCACTGTGAGGGATAGCATAGGAGCAGGCAAGGCTTTTGAGGATTTCGCAGTACGATTCGTCCAACTTGGAGATGGACAGGAAATTCCAGAGATCCCGGGCTCCAGGAAAAGTGGCGAAGAAAAGATTCCCACAACAAACAGCGCACCGATATCAGGGCCTATTGCCGCTCAACGTGCGAGAACAGGAGGGGATATCGCTCCCATCGAGGCCTTGGTGGACCGGCATTTGACGCATGCCGAGGACTACCCGAATATGGATGGAGAAGACTACTTGTCATTCAAGGATTCACGGCCGAAAAATCACGACATTCCGTCCCCTTTCTACACCTTGTATCTACGAAGACTATTATCCGGAATCCCTTTGGCACCGCACGAGACATTTTCACACCCTGTGGCATGTGTTATTGCAATTAGCTCACGGAATTCCAGCCCCATAGAAACCCTTCGGAAATTGTATGATGAGTCGAGCTTCGGGGAGAAGCGGTTACCTCTCTGGGTAAACAATGAGTATCTGAGATACTATGTTTTGGTACACGACGAGGAACGTGACGACATTGCAAAATCAATCAATTTGTTCGAGCAAATGAAACGCCATTTCGGTTTGCATTGCCATCTGCTCAGGCTTCGGAGTAGCCAATGTGTGGCGACGGATGATGATAGTGTTGAGCTACCAAGATGCGAGTGGCTGTCCGCGTCGGAAGAGATGGCTGAAATCCGGATTCGGGAACTGGAAGAAGACGTTGAAGACGCACATCCATGTATCTTCGAGTCAGATACGACTGCCATCAGAACATTTATCCGGGAAATGGTCACCCAATCCATTGTACCCTCGATGGAGAGATGTGTGGCTACCTGGAATGACCAAGTTGCTTCGCGCCGGCGAGGGCTCAGCGGACGTCTCACAAATATAACGAAGAAATGGTCTGTATTTGGGAGCAGCTCAAAGACATCCTCGAATGGCTCTACTGGAAGCGGATCGAGTGGCAACTATGATTCTACGCAAGGCTTTTATCGACCGGATGCTCCTGAAGCTATCATGCGAAAGCTGGCTGACTACGCTTTCATGCTCAGAGACTGGAAGTTAGCACAGTCGACATATGATTTGCTGCGATCGGACTTTAATAATGACAATGCATGGAAATACCATGCCGGGGCAAATGAGATGGTGGCAATCAGTACACTCATGAATGCGCAGTCAATGAGCTCCAGGATCAGGTCAGAAACAATTGATAAATGGTTAGAAGCCGCTCAGTATTCCTACTCTACTCGTTGCGGAGCAGGTTACGGCGCACTGCGATCTATTGCGTTGGTGATGGAACTTCTGCGACTTCGTGGTGGGTCAGCAACCGAGGATGCAGCGAACTGGGGCCAAAGACTCCTTGACTCAAAGGTCGTCGGCGTTGTAGGCGACGCACTCATTAGAGAGCGCATCGCGGTATGCTACGCTTCCAAGAGAGGTTCAGGATCCGGGGCGTGGGGTGCGAGGACGAGGAAATCCGCGTGGTGGGGTGTTCGAGCGGCCGATGCATGGTTGACTCTCGGTAAACCCCAGCAATCAAAACAACGCCTAGATGAAGCGATGGGGAAGTACTCGTCGCTGGCCCGCGAAGGAAGTGTATCACATTTCGCTGGTGCAAGCGACTTCATTTCATCTTTGCAACGGGAAATCCAATTGGCGCTGTATCCCCTCTCTGCTATAGAAGGCCCCGGAGGCATGGACGACCTGATTGATACGTCGGTGGGGGAGGAAAGCGAGGCATTTACATCACGTCCCCATAGGAGAAGCCTCATGGGTGCCGCGCCACCCATTATAGCCAGTCTGGGTTCGGCACCTCTTCATGGTACCTTATTGGGAGGGGAAAAGGAAGCGACCCAGTCGGACCAATTTGAGTGAAGAGAGTTGGCTTTTACAAATGGTGCATCTCTGTGCATATATCATATTTGCGTCTGGACCGGAAGGGATGAGCATTTGGACGGCGTCGGGCGTTTAGCTAGGCGATGATGTAAAATTATACACACGCTTTGGATTCAAGAAGCCTCTTTCAGCGAGGAGAAATAGAGAGGGAGGGAGGAAGAAAGGAATAAATGAACCGATAATTTAACACTGTTCACGTGAATGTAAATATGCGCATAAATCGTTATCGCTATCGCCCCGAGGCTAACTCTCAAATCAACAAAGAAGTCCCGCGCTACACATTGCAAATCTACTTCTCTCTCCCAAAACCAATCTGAGGAATTGCAAATGACAGACTCTCACGATGAGTGAGCTCCTCACGTATCTGCTGAACAACGAGCCTCAGTTCCGCAAGTATGCCCACTCCACCTCCCTCCCTCTCCACCTCGTCCCTCTCCTCCTTCCAGACCCATTTTCAAAAGTTCCTCACCAATAAGTTACTGATACTCATAAACAGAACGCGCCTCCAAGACCTCTACTCAGACTTCGCCGCCGCTCGCTCCATCAACCCCGACGGCTACACAGCCAACATAACCGCCTGGCTCACCGGGCTCTCGCACGCCGCTCTCGCCGGGCACGCTCCCTCTCCCGACCACCTCTCCATCACCATATCCCCTGATCTCGTGCACGCTCTCGAGACGAGAGAATGGGGCCGTCCGTCTGCGCTGGGCACGGTGGTGAGGGAGGGTATAAAGAGCCGGCAGTGGATCGACTACAGAGAGTTCCTAGAGCGGGAAGAGAGCGTTTACAAGAGCAGCTGGGGACTTAATATTGGGGGGTATGTGCCCAGTGTCGGCGACGTCGTGGGGTGGGGACTTCGCCAGCTAGGCTGGACGGGGGGAGAGGAGAAAGTGCGAAATGGGAGGGTCGTGTTGCTGTCTAATGTGGAGGAGGTAGGGAAAGGCGTGGTGAAGAAGACGGAGGGTATTAAAGGGCGGGTGGAACGCATATTCTCGCGCGAGGCGTTCCGAGCACGGTACGGCGAAATGGCGAGGGGAGAGAGGCTTTCAGAGGCGGATATGGATGTCCTGTTGAGGTTTTTGGAGAGAGATAGGGGAGTGCTGGCTTATGATGGGGGCGCCGTCAAGTTGAAGGCTCCGGGGGAGAAGATGGCAGGTACGATTACGGCGGAGGATACAACGATTGCGGGGTTAAAGACGCTTATTGGAGATTTGGAGAGGCAGACTGGCGTCTTAACGACTAGAGTTGATGAACTTGCTGCAACAGCCAAAGAGGCTGTGGGAAAGAAGAACAGAGTAGCTGCTTTGGCGGCGCTGAGGTCGAAGAAACTGGTTGAGACAACGCTTACGAAACGACATGCTACATTGGCGCAACTGGAAGACGTGTTTTCAAAAATTGAGCAAGCGGCTGATCAGGTTGAGCTGGTGGGTATTATGGAAGCTAGTACGAAAGTTTTGACCGGCCTCAACAAGGAGGTTGGAGGCGTGGAGAGAGTCGACCATGTGGTTGATCAGCTGAGAGAGCAGATGTCACAAGTAGACGAAGTGGGCAATGTCATTGCTGAGGCCGGCCAGGGCAACACTGCCGTTGATGAGGAAGAGGTTGATGGCGAGTTGGAGGCTATGGAGAAAGAGGAGCGCGATAGGGTGGAGGCCACGGAGCGGGCAGAGAGAGAGAAGGAGAAGCAGGAGACGGATGAGACGAAGCGAAAACTCGATGCCCTTGAGGAAGCTGAGCGCCGAGCCAAGGAGACAGCTGGGAAGAAACAAGCCGATGAAGCGCAGCAGGCATCAGAAGAGGCTAAATCAGACGAACAGCTCGTCGGCTTGGTCAGACGAGTGTCTCTAGAACCCGAGCCGGCCCAGCTTGCGTAAATGAGCCCTTGGAGATGGCCACAGGACAGGAGCATTGTAATTTACATCACGCATTTGGGCCAGGAGTTGGTGCTTGGGAGTGAGATTTGATGGCTTGTCAATAGCAAGCCATCGTTGTATTGTTCTGATTATGGCCATATCCGACGCAATACTAGAATCTTATGAAGCATCGATAGGCTGAACGCTGGCAGTGTATTGTGATGGTGATTTTTGAGAAGATGGCTTTTGTGTTGACCGAATTTGTGACGACGGCTTTGGAGACGAGCGGGCCGTTTGACTACTCTCTTCGGAGAACAGCCGCTGCTGTGATCCGATCGGCTTCACAGGTGTTACCTCTTCACTTTCTTCCCTTCCACGTTCCGCCATTTCAGTGTCCGTCTGACCAACAGGACATTCCGGCGCTACAGGCGTGCTATCTCTAAAGCTAGACCCTTCAGCCGTGGGATGCTTCACGGATCCTTTCCTCGCATTCGCTATTAAATCCGTAAAGGCGTCCTTATTAGCACTCGAATACGCCTTCCCATCGAACTCTTTATCCTTAATCTGTGCTCCTGAACTCTGCGTAAAATTCGGCGCATGTGCCCTTCCCCCCTGTGTCCTTTCCCACGTCTCCAGATCTCTCTTCAGTGCGAACTTTCCTCTGGGTTTTGTAGCGTCGCAGTCTGCATTCCATAATGTGACCCACTCCGTGTATCGCCTCTCCAATAACGGTTTGTTGCCACTAGCATTTATTCCAGCATCTACCAGCTTCTTTCGTAAGGCAGTTTCCTTCATCATGGAAAAGTTGATTTGTGCTAATCGTTCCGGACGTTTGACAGGCCCGTCGGATACTGAGAATGGATTTTGCGCAGGGCCTTTTCTGGAATTACTGCTAGAGACGGGTCTTCGAGGCTCGTCCATGCAGCCCCGGTCGATATGGGAGTTGATGGACGCCTCTTTGACTTCTTTCTGGCATATGGGGCAGAGAACGAAGCCTTGGTCTAGAGAGTGTTAGCAAAGTTGTTTACTCTAAAATCTATTGCCAACATCATAGACATACCAGGAACATAATCCCCATCCTCTTCATCTGTATCATTGATAATTGTAGCATGTATCTTCCTCCCGGCAGTCCTTCTCGAAGACCTCGTCCTCTTCTTCGGCGTCTCGTCCTCGTAGCCCAACTCCGCAACCTCTCTACTCCTCTTTGGCGAAGAGCTCCTCTCCATAGTGGCCGGTTTTCTAGCAAACTCTAGCACGTCTGGCCTCGCCTTCTTGAAAGCCTCCACCAGGTCCTCCATCGCATTATTATTCCGCAGCTTAAGCTCCTGGTCCGTCGTCCGGCACGCTGGACATTTCCCGTCGTTACTGAGGCAGCGCCGTATACATAGTGAGCAGAAAGTGTGCATGCAGGAAGTGATCATAGGCGTTTGGTAGAAGTCCTTGCAGACCTGGCAGCGCAAGGCTGAGTCGACGGCAGCGAGGGAGCGTAGGGGCGTATCGAGCCAGTCGGTCGAGTCTTCGAGCGCATCGTCTCTGGAGAGTTTGTTCATGATTGCGCGTAGGGGGTATTATTATTTCTTGGAGAGGGATTGTGATGAGAGTAATCACATTTCGAGAGTGTTGACTTGGAGGTAGAAATTAAGCGGAGCGCGTAAAGTGGTTCACGTCACAGAAATGACTTCGCGTCTCCGAACTCTAAGAAAACATTCCCTCCAGAGAGGAGCTACGAGTGACAACCACACATCAGCATGGCCGACTATAAGACATATCTTGCTACAAGCATTTTGACGGAGGATAAAGTGGTATGGAACGTCTGAGAAATACAAAGCAACTGGTACTAAAACCATCTGCAGGTCACTTATCGGCTCCTCAGTCGAAACTTGAAGATCCACGTCAACACCGCGAAGGAGTGGGTTTGACTGTCTCAAAGCTCTGAATAGTGCTGATGACCCATAGAATGCTGTTCGAGTTCCACCGCAGCCAGAACGCAAAGAAGCCAGGAACAGTTCATGCGACCTACCTAATTAGCGGCATAAAGCGAAAAGAGGACCCGATAGTTGCGAATGGTGGAGCAAAGATCGATGGGGGGGATGATTATATGCAGAGCAGTCCTTTTACAGGTAGTTCGATGCCACAAGGCGACGCTGGAACAGGAGAGAGTGGAGTGCTGAGCATTACGTTGGTCAAGGAAGAGGAATTGGAAGGTTAGATCCACTACCTAGTCCTCACTGGAACATAATGCTAATTCGCGGTAGCTATTCGCTCACAGTACGAGCATATATCATCAATACACGTCTACAGCATTGGACCCCATCCATTGAAGGTAGAACTCTTCATCTCCGGTACGGATTACTTCTCACGACTTTATAGGACCTCCAAATTCTCTCCGACGTAAACCGCGAAATCCAAGTCCTCTGTCTGTCTGAAGACGCCGTCGAAGCCGCCCCAAAATACGGTACAATCCTCAACCCGCTCGTCAAAAGACGACCGGCCCGCCGTCCCCCACCAGTCGCAGCCGCTCCTCGCCCAGCAGCCAAACCCCAAGCAAAGCCCAAGCCCGCTGAAACCAAAGAGCCTGCCAAACCCACCAAGCAAGAAACCAAACCTCAGCAATCAACAGCCGCAAAAGACTTCTTTGCCAAAGGAAAAGAGAAGGCCAAATCTTCTGCTCCCAGCAAAGAATCCACGCCTAATCCTTCTGCAACACTTAAGCGGGATAGTTCTAGCATCTTCCAGTCGTTTGCGAAAGCTAAGCCGAAGCTCAAGCGCGAGGGAACGGATACCAGTGCTTCAGCTGTTGAGACGCCAGTGGAAGATTCACCGATGATGGATGTGGATGATGATGACGAGGAGGATGACACATTTATTGCACCTGCGCCGAAGAGTAAGGATATAGTGGAGAGTGATCGTAAGAGTAGGAAAGAGAGAGAAGCAGCGCTGAAAAAAATGATGGAGGATGATAGTGAAGAGGAGGCTGTAAAAGAGGAGCCGGATAGGAAGAGGCAGAAGAGTGAGGAGGCGAAGGAGAAGAGTGCAAGTGTGGAGCCGAAGGAGATGGAGGAGGTACCGAGTGTGACTGTTAGTGGAGGACGAAGGAGGGGAAGGAAAAGGGTGATGAAGAAGAAGACAGTCAAGGATGATGAAGGGTATCTTGGTATGTCTTTGACTCGCTTGATGAGAAGTGTTGGCTAATTGGGAATAGTCACCAAAGAAGAGCTGGTGTGGGAGTCGTTCTCGGAAGACGAGCCTGTCGAGAAGCCGAAGCCGAAGATGCAGTCTTCGAACACGGCGAAGGTAAAGAAACCAGCTGCGAAGGCTGGACAGGGCAACATCATGTCGTTCTTCGGCAAGAAGTAATGAGCTGTATGGATCTCGCAGTGTAACCGAGAGCCCACAGGCTACAACGCAGCTCACTGGCTATTATCTTGTATTCGGTTTCTTTTGACGGCTTCAGCATGGGTGTTATGGAATCAATTATAATACGGGTGTGGGTGAGAACGAGGCTTGAGCCCAATCTATTTACGAAGATTCACTCTGTCCCCATTAAGATGCCCGCTAAATCACCATGCCTATGTAACATAGGTCACTCTCCAACTATATACGGCTTTGCACTCTCCCCAAACAATAGATGCGGTTTCCTATTCGCGAGATCGAGGATCGTTTGCGCGAAGACGCTGTTTGCCCCTGTTTTCGTTAGCGAGATTTTTGGTCACATTCAATTGAACTCGACTTACAAGCGAACCAACTCCCTAAGCCAACCTGTTAGCATATCATACAATCTGGTTTTAGGGGAAGGGGACTTACTCGTATAATCCTGGATATAATTCACATTGATACTCTCATGCACCAATCCCAACTTGCTCGCCTTCAGCACCAGGTTAACACACTCCATAATCTCGGTGTCGTTATCCGAGGTCATAGCCTGCGTCAGCAAGCTCATCGGCCACGCATTTTGAGGCCCGACATGCGGGCCTCCAATGCCATGGAAATCTTTACCCACCAGATAATACGGATTCCCCGCTTTGCTCAACAGCATCTTCCGTGTATTCTGATACACGGGTTCGGTGCGATCCAGGAATCCCATGATGGGCAGGGCGAGCAGGGAGGGCACGTTAGCGTCGTCCATGAGGATCTGGGAGCCGTAGCCGTCTACCTCGTAAGCGAAGACACGGCCGTGGTTCCTGGTGGGTACAACGGCATGGGCCCAGACCGCGTCCTTGATGGTCTGGGCTCGCTTTTCGAGGGTCTGCGAGAGCCCTAATTTATTGGCTGCCGCGAGGATGGCGGCTGTCTTCTTGAGCTCCACGGCCATTTGGGCGTTCGCGGGGATGTAGAAGCCGAGGATAGCGGCGTCGTCGCTGGGTCTGAAAGCGCTGCGGATCAGGCCGGTGCCGTAGTTGAGGGGGTTGCCGACGCCGGACAGGGGGAGGGTTTCGGTGCCTTGATCGGTGCGGCGACTGAATGTATACGCGTTGCGCTTGAATCTTCCGGTTTCGGCATCAAATGTTGATTGGGATTGTTGGTCGAGGACCAATAGCACTGTGTCTAGAGCCTTGTACCACCGCGGTGTAAGGAAGTCTAGGGATTTCGTACTGTTGTAGAAAGAGTTTCCAATGGCAAGGAAGTGGGCTAGAGAATCCAATTCGTATTTACACTCGAAAACAAAGGACGATTCGTATGCTGGATGCACAACATCGTCTTGCCCGTTTGGAGTAACTGATAATTTCGAAGCTGGAGGAGGTTGGAAAGCATTGCAGTACGGTGACTCAATCACAAACTCCGCTTGGGTGTTGATAGCTCCCAGTATGAGATTAAATATCTTTTCGTCCTTCGAGGCCAATGGCTGGTATTGCAAGAGCTGGTTCGTCGAGTCCCGCAGCCATTCCGCGTTGATATCTCCGGTAACCACAAACGATTGAGGCCCTTCCCATTTGCCAGAGTTTTTGGAAGCTCTCTTCTTCAACTCTGTATGCTCAGTCTTTCCATCCGTATGCCATCGCACCGTCGTATCCAGTGTATTCGGGAACGCATTCTCGAACAGCCTTGCCAGGTCTTTGTCTACCATCTTCTCATTCATGTCCTCAATGACCTTTTCGACCAGTGGCGAAGTGAATGTCCGGCAATGTTCCGAAGGTCTCTGGAAAGGTAATGCATATTGTCCTTCTGAGAGTGGTCGGCTTCGTTCAACATGTCAGATTGAGCTGCTCTACTCGGGGACTGAAAACGTACTGCAGAAAGGTGACATATTTCTGGTAATCCGGACACGCATGTTGGTAAGAAGGATCTTGACTGGCCGCTAAGTCTGGATGCTCTGCCATCGCAGCCAAAGTTCCGAGCCAAAGTAGCCATACTCGCACAGATATCAAATGCATGGCAATTGCCCTACCCGGTTTGAGAGGATGTGTAGACTCCAGATGGCCGAAAGTGGTTTGTTTGGAAGCTCAAATCATCGGGGGTTTCCGTCTACGATTCGATTTGAAGAGTATTTCCCGTACCAACAGCTGTATCGACAGGTAGATAGAATATCCTTTTCAAATTCGAATCCAGCGGTTATCGTCGCGGTCGCCTGTTGTTTCAAGCCTTTCGTAGCCTTGTCGAGACGCTAGCGCCCAATAATGCTTATATAAGCCTCGCCTGTTTCAACATCATTCAGCATCTCTTGAGCCCTTTGGAAGATCCATAACACGGTACTCTTGATAGCCAGCCGCCAAGCTAACGGGACCAAGGAGGAGTCGACTTGCTGCATCATATCTAAATTGAATTTGTAATGCCATCGAGTTTAGCTTGAAGAAAGTATGACTGTTGAAAGGAACCGAGAGATACAGCAGGCCTTGGTTCGTCGCGTCACCCAGCCTCCCGTTTATCGATCTGCGGACATTCAACGGTGGTCGAGCTGTATACCGCCAGCCCAGGCATATCTTCATAGCCAAATTTATCACGTAAGATATGAATGATTCTCGGACAAAAAAAGCCTGCCACCCAACTCGGGCATGAAGCTTGATCCCGGGCTGAGGCCTGTTTATCTGGCATAAAGGCTTATCATACGCATCTCTCTTGTGGATGGCAAAACTTGGGCTGTGGGATAGATGAATTGAAGGGTGGATTCCAGTAACCACTATCACGACAACTTCAAGGTGAAATTCTGACGCCTTTCGTCCATATGGACTGGCTCTCTTCCCTGGATCAATGTGCGCCAAAAATAATTTTGGTCCGTAGCTCAGTCAGATACCCAAATTAGTTATATTTTGAGGGTAAGGGATACTGGGTAATCTCGTTAGTCCTATCTGTGACTGCTCCGAGTTTCCAAAGCGTGTATCGAGCCATCAGCTCTCAGTAATATGTACGCATTCTTAATTTCGTTTGTTGTAATTTTGAACTTACTGCGTTTCCAAGTGCGGACTTTGTTTCGTAGCATCTTTTTGACAAAGCCATGTCAATCCTGTGGATAAGTCTCGCAATGACGGGCCGTCAGATCATGCCCCAACGCATAGTTTTGCATGGAATCTGGATTCCCTGACATTGGTACTTTCTGCTGTCCAGTCCAGTGATCATAGGGCCTTCAGAATCGCTTTAGATACCCCGATGCATGTACAGGCCGTCCTTAAATAAGACTCCGGCTCACGTAGGACTCCGTCATTTTTATAGCTTAATGTTTCTCAGCCGTCTGAAGATAACTTCAAGAAAATGACTTTCGACGTAAAAAAAGTCACGTCGAAGCTCAGCATCGGAGGAAAGGCTTCGTTATTGTCAGGTGTGTCTCTACGTTTGCTTTATACAGTTTGATCTTTGGATTTGAGGGTGAGCGGCAAACTCGCAATGAATCAAGAAATCTGCGCCAGCAGTATCATCGTCCTTCAGAATGAACGTAAAAAGCTGCCTCACCAAAGAAGATGAGAGAAGATCACTCTTATGAAGCAGGGGCTGGAAGTGAGCAAGCACGCCGGCTTGAGGGCTGAAAATACGAGGAGGTACTGGCTAGGCTTGTAGACTATTCCGATTTGGCTCTTGAGCTACCTATGGGTCGCCCGAGTTCATGACTTGATTGGGGATCCGCACATGAGAGGCTATTGGGTATATGTCCTCCTAGAATGGCAGATCAGATAGATAAACCTGGAATTTCCTCTAGTTCATCTTCGTACTCCTGTTTCTACCTTTTTCGTACTGGGTGAGGGACTAGGATCACTCGAATCCTGTCCACGACCGGGCAATTCGAACTCCGGGAGTCAGCATCCCAATACCGTGCCTACCTGCATTGCTGACCATCATACATATCCAAGATTTCTGAACGGCCTAGAATAGTGCTTCGATAGGATCAAGTTCGTATCATAAGTACGGAGAAACTCTAACGTCGGCTTGAGTTTTTGTTGACTCCACATGCATGCTGGTTTGACGCTTGGTACATACAGTCCTCGATTGTCGACTGAGATGCATGCTGAGGGTATGAGCTTGCCTCGTTGAGAGTTTGGATCGGAGACCTTGTGGAGCTTAGACGAGTGCTGATATACTCTGCGGCGTAGCTCGGGATCAAGATGATTCAGGTCGCGAAGGATTGAGATTTGAGTGCAACGGTGGAATTCGAGGAAAATTTTCGAACCTGAGATAGAGAAATCGTACATAGAATAACCAGCTGAAGTATGAAGATCAGCTGGTAATGAAATTAGATGGATGGCGCATCAGTGAAACTGTTGTCATTCCCAGCCGAGCTGTAGACGGGATTGTGGCCATGCTTCCAAAATCTTTATTTAGATAGTCATACAAAAATGCTTCTTCAGACATCACCCAGATCGCAAGAAGGGAGTCCGCCTTATCACAGCTTCAGAATGTGCCCGAACGCCGACCTATGTTTTTTTTTACGTGCATAAATATAGACCAGTCATGTTAATCTTACAAGTGATCGTACCAGAGAACTGTTAAGTAGCCTTCAGCTTCGTTTCATCTTCCACAACCTGGGACTCAGAAGCATCTTCGGAGGCCTGGAATTCGGCTGCTGTCTCGATTGGCCGATCTTGAGTAGTGATTTCGGTATCTGGGACTTCCTCGGAATCGAGGGCTTCTGATGGTTCGATAGTCGCAGCCTTAGTAATTCTTTTTGGAGGGATTATCCGAATCGACGACTTCGGTCTCGATATCTCCTTCGTCAGGCGTCTGGACCAGCACCATCTCTGATGCAGACAAGTCCTCTACGACATGCAATTTGATCTCTCGCACAACCGCCTCATCATCCTCATGCTCGGCCGAGCCTTCGGGTATTGTGGGCATATTGCCGTCAGCAAGTGGCGAGTCCTCAGAATCGTGGCTTTCTTCCTCCACCTCCAGAGTCCCGCTCGTCTGACCCTCGAGCGACTCTTCCATAGTAAGGCTCTCCCGTTTACGAGACAATTCCTCTGCGAGTTCTGTTTCTGCGACGTCGAAGTTTTCAGATGCGAGGTCTTCGAGTTCCTCTCCTTCCATGTCAAGCTCTAGGTTTTGGAAAACAACATCTGCTCCTGAAGAATCTACCGCACTCTCTGCCTCCTTTCCGAGTATCAAACTATCTCCCTTCAGCTGATTTGGCGTTTCGGCAAGCTGCTGCTGCATCTTCTCTGCCGCCATCTGTTCTTTAATCCCTTTCCGTCTCAAGTAAGTGAGCTTTCTCCTCTGCGCTTCATCCATTAGCACTGTCGACAGACATTCGTTTATCTTTTCTTCGATCAGGCCCTTGACATGGAAAGCAAGAGCTTGGCTAATGAAGACTCCAGCGAAGCGGTAGCTCAGCCACAAGTAGAGAGTGAGCTGTCTGTGGAGCATCTCTGCGTCCTTGAGGTAGCCCTTGGATCCGTTCGCATGATCGTGAATATCTCTATCCAGAAGCTCCAGGTCAGGGACCTGCAAGTCTAGAAGAGCGCCATTCTTTTGCTCCGCTATACAATTGGCCAATTCCTTGATAAAGTCTATGCTACCATGATCTCTCATGCTCATAGGGGCGCTCATCAAGGAAATGCGATCCATGTTCGACAAGTCGAATTCTTGAATGGCATCGGCTATTTTGATCTGGTCTTTGAGGCGACACAAGTGGAAGTGTGAGCCCAGTGAAGCCATGTCGTGCAGCCGGAGGATGATGTAACTGAACGGTGTTTTCGGTGGGAAGTAGTTGGCGAATCGGAGAAGGATGTCCCCTGGTGGGAAGATTCCAGCAGACGCCAGAGGTGGCACACTGGCTCTCATAGCTCTTCGCACTATGGGAAGGTCAAAATTTTCCAAGGTCGTCACCATACCCCCAGCGGGACTAGGTTTCTTGACTGTATCGAGTTGGAGCGGATCCACCACTTGTTCATCACCGTCTTTGCCCTTATCTATGGCTTGTTGTGCAGTCTTAAATCTGCCAGCTCTACCAGCAATTTGCTTAATCTCATGGTTTTTGATTATTCGATGAGCTACCCCATCGTGCTTGGAGGTCGTCTCAAAGATGACCCGCTTAATGCTCAAATTCAGACCCATACCAACAGCATCACTGGCAACAAGGTAATCGTAATCATTGTTTGGGTCGTTAAACAGAGCAGCTTGCTGAGCCCGTGTCTCGGGGGGCAGCGAGCCATATACAACTGCAGCTCGCTTTCCAGTGATTCTCTCTACATCCTGCTTCATGGCGTGAATTGCTACGCGAGAGAAGAGAATAATTGCGTCGCCTTTTTCGAGATTGCGCAAGTCTCCATTCAAGCTGTGATCCTGGGTTTTTAGCGGGCTTAGACGCTCGTACTCATGGACCACGAGCTTATCACCCATAGCTGCACATAAATCTGTGATGATTTCTCTGGTACGGGTCTCGCCACAAAGGTGAACCTCTTTAGCCATGACTCCCAAGAAAGCCTGCGTCCAGGCCCATCCACGCTCGTCGTCGCCCATCATCTGAATTTCATCAATGACTGCAACATCGACAGTGCAATTCAGCGGAACCATTTCGACGGTACAGCTGTTCATGACGCTTGGGAAGTTCTCGGGAATTCGCCGTTCTTCACCAGTGATTAGAGCACATGGTTTACCTTTAGCGTTCAGCCTTGTGTATACTTCGTGTGCCAGTAGTCGTAGAGGCCCTGCATATATCCCGGAATCTGCTGCCTCTAGCCTCTGCAGCGCATGGTAGGTTTTTCCGGAATTGGTCGGTCCTATGTGCAGATGGACAGTCCGTTGTAGAGCCCTTGTGGCCGGAAACCACTCCAAAGGGTACCGAAGATCTGCGAGCTTCTGTTGATGTGTCGCATGGTGTTCGGCAAACTGTTCTGTGGACATTTCTTTCATGAATGCGAATTTCATCTCATCGGCGAGACCTACCATATTGCGCTTTATAAATGCAGTGCGCAAGCGAAAGAATAGGGGATTCTCGAACTTCCCAAGCTTTCCTTCCTCTGCAAGTTTTATACACTCCCGGAGCCGGCCCTTGAAAAATTGCAATTTTTTGTCTAGCTCTTTCTCCGAGTTGATACCCCAAGCCTTGACTGCTACCTCTTCCTTGCGCAGCAGAGACCATCGTAAATTCGCAGTCTGCTCGAGCAAGAGCCGCCCAAAGACGCCGAAGGTAGTTTCGGTCTTTGCAACAGGGCCTTGAATACCACGACGTCCCACTCCACGGACGTCTGAGTAGCTGAGTGCGTTCAGATGCGAATCCCTTTGGGCATACGGTGCAGCTTCGGGCCAACTTCCACTATCTTTAGCGTTGTAGGGAGCATTGCCTTGAAATCTTCGCACTCGGAAATCTTTAGGATCAAAATGTCTCTTGGCTGAAATGAGTCGGCCGCGAGCGAGCTGAGGACGATGTCTGCCATCTCGGTCGGACGAAGTAGATTTGGAGCGCAGTTCTGATCCTTCGAATAATTCATGTTCTTCGGACTGGGGCCGTAAAGGTTGAAATTTCTTTGTTAGTTAGTACCTTTCCGCTAACAGGAAGTCGTTAGAACTCGGCAGGTGGAATGCGAGTTGTCACTCACGGCGCTACGGTCTGAGAGCTTGTGATCAGAAACTTGGGATCCAGCTGGGTGATGCGAAGTGTTCCCGCTGATTTTGAGACCGGCTTCAGAGGAATATGCTGCTCGTATATTGCGGTGTAAGGGGGATTGTAGGGACCGTGTGGCTCTGTATGCACGGAATGTACAAAGCCCACCTCTTCGAGTGGCCAGAGGCATCACTGCGATTTACGACGAAGGGGACAATGCATCTGGGCCGATATCGAGATATGGAGACGCGTTGAGAGAAGTGGCAAACAATATTGCGTTCATCGACTTCAATATTTGTTTTATGGCCGGTGCATTGAAGTTCCGCGCCGGTGCCCAGATCTCTTACTTCTGCCAAGGGTCCATGATCGCCCTGCGTCATGTCAACCACAACCTCCATCAACGTAAACGATTCTATTCTCCAAACCAGTCAACACAGTATTCAGAACAAGACACCGTCCAAAGTTAGATTCTCGAGATTCTATATTATTCGAAATTCAAGGTTCCATGCCCGCAACCTCAACACCTAAAGCAATGGCTTCCTCCTCATCACCCCCCACCCCCCTCCTCTAGTAAGTCCTCCCCATACATTCATTTACTTACCTACATCCCATAGAAAACTAACCATTCCTCTCCAGCGCCTGCATCGCTCACCACACCACCATCCTTGCCGAGCATACCGCCTCCGCCTCCTCGCAAACCTCCTCCCTCGCCTCCCTCGTCCTTCCCAAGATAGAGCACAAGACCGCCCAAAAGCTGACCTACACCCACAACTCCAACTTCATCCACTACATCGCCGACGCACCTTCCGAGTACGCCCCTACATCCGCCTCCGCCGGTGGTCTCACCTACCTCGTGATCGCCGACTCCTCGCTCGGCCGCCGCATTCCCTTCGGCTTCCTCTTCGAAATCAAGAAGCGCTTCCTGGCGCAACACGTACCCGAGAGCACGGACTTCGCCAGCCTGCCGAATTATGGCGCGGGCAGCTTCAACAGCGAGTTGAAGAAGCTGATGTTAGAGTACGGGACAACTAAGGCCGGGAAGGAGGATGCCATCTCGAATGTGCAGGGTGAGATTGACAATGTGCGCGGCATAATGAGCCAGAACATTGAAAGTCTGCTTGAGCGCGGGGAGAGAATCGATTTGTTGGTTGATAAGACGGATCGTTTGGGTGGTAGTGCTCACGATTTTAGGGTCAGGAGTAGGGGATTGAGGAGGAGAATGTGGTGGAAGAATGTAAAACTTATGGCTTTGCTGACGCTAGTGGTGATCTTCCTGATCTACCTGTTTGTTGGTTTTGGCTGTGGCTTGCCCGGATGGTCGAAGTGTGTCGGTTGAAAGGAGGGAGAGAGGGGTGCTTAGTACTATTTTGTACGCTGGGGAATCACATTATACCACGGAGTTTTGGAGGAAAAAGTCCTTCACCCAGTCTTTCATTTTACTATTTATACATGCGGAGAGGTCATACCTAGCTTACAAACCCAATTCCATCCCCTGACAGCCGCTTGATTCCGAGTAATATGGTATTCTGCCTTACCCAAGGACTCCAAACTCCTAGCATGAGACCTGCGGTCCGTATACCATCTTCCATCCATACACGCTTCCCGTGTATCCCAATAAACCCCATACTGCAACCCATCCCTTCTTCTCCCCCTCTATCATCAATCGCCTTCAGCCACCCGCCCAGACACTTTCCTACCTCACAGCTTCACACCTCCCTCTCCTCTACCCCCCCTCCCAACCCCATCCTCATAAACATACCCCTCCGCAACGGGACTACATAACTTCCCACTCCCGGCATCCACCCCACGCGGCGCCTTCTTCAACCGCTCCGTGAAGAACACCGGGTGCCGCGTCGCGGCATCCAGCAGCATCATGATCTGCTGGTCACGCGCCACCGCCAACAAAGCATTCCTAGGTGCGGGTCCTGCTGGTGCTGCAAAAGGAGGCATGGCTTCGATTTGCGAGCGCGGGAATAGGACTCGAGGTCGTTGAAGAGGGGGTGTATTATACGTGGGTTGTTGTTGGACTTGTTGTTGGACTTGGCCTTGCACTTCAAGAGGGGTAGACAGTGTGCGTGTTTGTTGTTGATTCGAAGGAGTGGGGGGGAAAGGTCGCCGTTGGGGGATCTGTGCCCGGTCAGTAGGTGCCTAGGTACTTAAGTATTATATGTTTTTGCTACTACCCTGTAACCATCTACCCAACGGAACAAGGCAGCTAGCTCATAATGCGAGGCGAGAATGTAGGATGTGCATGTGCGTGCGTACCTTTGGTCTGGAGGGCTGCATGGAGGGAATCATCTCTCCAATCCTCTCTTTCTCCTTCTGTCTTTTACTACTGTATCACAAAGTATTGCGAAAGAAAGGCTATTCTGGATGGATGGATGATCTTTCACATCATTCTCCGATCAGAATAGAGGATTTCGCAGCGCTCTCCTTGATGCTCTGAAGCTTGAATGAATGATAGGAACAAGGATACTCAAGTTGAACATGAAGATCATAAAGGTGGATGTTGAAACTGTGGGGTAAATAAGAGCCTCGGCATGACGGCATAAGTAAATATACTTAAGTAGACAAATTGGCAAGCCCCTCAAGACCAATGAGACTTAGATTTGTGTAAACATCTTGAAAATGAAATGCAGCTGAAGCTTGAATCGTAACTGAGGTGAGCCCTCCTCTTCTGGCTTGTAATAGGGAAATGGCGTGGACAAGTGTCTTCGTAAAACAGCGATCGAAATTGAGTTACAAAGATCCGTCATGAGATATTATATCTATCTAACCGCTGCTGATGCTCCGTCACTCATGACGTCCTGCGCTATACACAAACAGACAGTCGCATATGTGCTGCCTAACTCCCGTTCGCCTCATTTAAAAACAACCCCCTTGTCAGACGCCGAACCATGCTCATGGGGATGATGTGACGATTCCAATCCGCCCAATGCCAAAGCGAATCATTTCTTCTGCCCAAAGAAGCCCCGCTTCTTCTTCTCCTTCTCCCCGCCCTCTCCATTGCCCTTGTTTTTGCTCTTCTTATCTAGCTTCCCGTGGCTCGGTGTCGATTGAGCTCCATTAGCACCATTCAAAGGTATTGATCCACCAGGAGAGGAATTGTTCATGCTCATATTAGCTAATGCGGCTGTAGGAGGCTGTGGTGCGGGTCTATCATATGGGTTGGGTCTAGTATTATACGATGGACTCTTCTGGGGGGGAGGTGGAGGGCCTGGACTCCTTATTTGTGCAGGTCCACCAGGACCACCCGGAAGGCCCCTCATTCCAGGCCTAATACCAGGCCCAGCAGGAGGAGCCGCTGGCCGAGGATCATTGCGTGCAAACAGATGATCGGGCGCTTTTGGCTTCGGTCTGTCAATAGGTAGATCTAATACTCTCCGGTCTGCGGTCAAGTCGCCAACTTGTCGGACGTAAAGTGCTGGAGTGACCATGTGACTTGTTGCAAGGAAGATATCTTTGCCTGTTGCTTTCGAGACTTCGTAGCAGGCTCGAGATTCCGAGTATGTTGCGCCACCAGCGATGAAAACAATTATCCTTTGCCGACTCTCTACATTGGACGTACGATTCCGTGCCCAGGTGGGTTTCGCACTTCTGAGCGACGTCTGCTGTTGAGCTGCCAGCTCGTCTGAGTTGTCGATCGGTGGTCTGATGTAAGGAAATGTCATTTGGTCCAAATTTCCCTTCGAGATGCCCTCAAGCATCAACTTTACCATGGGCTCGAATCTCGAGAGAGCGTATTCTTCGTTTTGTGCCAAAGAAGCAGCCTTTGTGGGGAAGAGTGGTTGAGGCGGAGGCTTCACATCTTTCAGATTCGTTTTGATAGTATGCGCACCAATCAGGTCCAGATTGGTGATAACTTCGGCATCTTGGGGTGGAAGTCCTGCATGCGCGAGGAGTCGCTGGATGTCATTTTGGATCATGCCATCTCGGAAAATTATGTAGAGCATAATGAGGCGCAACCGGTCTGCGGGTCCAATACTCTCATCATCTAGTAGCCGTACAACCTGGTCCAATAGATTCTTCGGTTTCCGGAAGTCCTCATCCAGCCCCGTCGCAAGTGTTTGCTCCACCGAAGCGATATCTGGAAGTTTTCGTTGTTGAAAGATGTTCATGCACTCTTGAGCCATGCTTAAATGCAGCGAGTAAGCTTCCTTCATCTCTTGGAACTGAGGCAGCCCTGCTAGCATATCCTTGATCGCATTTAAACTGGTCGCATCCTCCGAATTGGTGAAATTAGGATTATCGTCAATAAACTTTTGGAAATCGCCCATCAATTTCTCAATCGTATCTTTCATGTGCATGTGCCTGTTGTTGACCCAGATTTTGTCTTTCTCTCCAATCTCCATATCCTTCTCCTCTGCTTGTCCTGTTCCCTCATTAACGACTGTCCTGTAAAAGGTTTTTTCTCCGTCTTTTATAGGCAGCAAATCGTGAGCCATGGCTTGATATGTGAATTCGTGAATCAGGGGGGCCATGATGTCCATTGATCGGTCGGTAATGACAAGCACGCCTTGCGGCCGTGTCGAAGGGGGAGGCCAGTTCTGATTGAATTTGGCATATGCATCGAGCTCCTCCTGTACAAATTTGGCCAGATGACTGCACAGAACGCTTGCTTCGTGGAGTGGGTTTCGAGGTTTGTAATATCGAACCTTTGGGTACTCTCCTAGTGTAACGCAGATACCAGTAATCTACAAGCTTAGCTTTCCGTTCAAGAAAGTTCTCATGGCATTCGTACCTTCTGCGAGAGCAATTGCATATGACTGAGTACAAGACTATTGCATGCAGGGTGGTATAATATCGGGAAACTCCAGGGATCACGGAATGTTATCAGATGCGATTCGCGGGGGAAGAAATCGATGGATAGCGTCTCAAATCCTGCCATTTGTTCTTGCACTTGCTTCGATACGTCCAGTCGACGGCGCATCTGAGGGTCCAGAAGGGCGGTCCATACTAGAAATGACTTCCTGTATCTTCGGCGCTCGAAATCGGCGAGGAGGCAGTCGACGATATGTGGCTGTGGAGACAGCAGGTAGATGGCATCCATATCCGGATTCATCTCCCTCCTCTCCTCAATCCTCTCGATGTCTTCCCTGTTCTTAGCGTATGACCTAACTACCTGACCGCATAGCACGTACTCGCAATGTTCTCGTTGAGAATGTCATCCTCTTTGACCACATTGTCGATGATCTTCTTGGTAGATTCGTCGATGACCAGTACCTTCCACTGTGTAATCTATGAGTACAGGTGTTTGGAAATGAGCCGGCAGACTTACATCTCCCCGAGTTATCGCTTTCAAGGTATCCAAGATTACTGCATATGCGATCAGTCAAGTCCGTGGTGGGGTTACCATCCTGTGTGCTCACTCTCTCGCTGTTCCAAGATAGCGGAGACCATCTTGGCCTGGTCCTTGGTTTAATCGTCGGGTCGATTGCGGTCGCGGTACACAGAGGTATTTTCACTGATTTGGAGAGAGGACCAGCTATGGCTTTGAAGGTGTGTTGTCGAGTGTTCGACAGAAACGTGTGTTCGATCTTGTTCAAGGTGTCGATGGGTCCGGCTTGGCGGGGTTTCGTAGCGCCGGCAGAATTTGTGGGTCAACAGTAGGTAAGGTACCGAAGAATACAAGTAGTTGGAGATGGAATATGGAGTTATCTTCATGTGATATATGTCCGCAGCGAAGAACGGATACAGCTTATCACACGTCCGTATATCTGTATCCATTGTTCTACAATCATTTTTATTACTTGTCAAGTGAGGTTGTCGTATAGGTCTTTACAAGTGCTCGACTGCCTCCGTGTAATTCTTGCTGTTGTCGTGTAGTTGTTTTCTCAACCTCCTCCAAGATATCTCTCAACATCATCGTTCCTGTAGAACATCTCCTTCAACCTCTCGCCTCTCTTTCTGTCCTGCTCATACATCTTCCTGACTTTACCAGCGTCCAGCTTCTGGATTCGAACTTTCTTTTCTTTCTGCTTCTGGTGGGAGTACGACTCCGATACCCATCTTATCTTCCTTTGGTTTCGTTTTGACAGGAAATCTTATGCCCTGACCTGATGCTCCTAGCCCCCGTCGAGAGTCTGGATCCCATCCGTACGCAGAGAGATATGTGAGGCCTTTGCGGTTCCGATCGAGGTGCGATGGAGGATGTGAGTGAGTGAGACAGACTTGATGAGCAAGAGATGCTTCATGAGGCTTTCGTCTTGAGGTCTGGTGGATACCTAATGCATCTGGTTCTGCGGAGGCAGGAGACTCTTCAAAAAGAGAAAGGTTGCAGATCTCGCAAATTTGGGCGGCAGTACCCAGAGCAGACTCGGTATTGCTTGATAGTGAAGCTTCGGATGACGAAGCAGGTTTCTGGTCACCTGGTAGAACCATCTTCAAATAGAGGTCGCTCACCGATTGTCCTGAGGAGCTGGGCAATGAAGCCGTCGAGAGCGTATTCGCGCTTGATGGAACGAATCTCACTCTTTGACGTTTGATGCCCGCTCCAAAGGGCCTCTGGTTCTGGAGCGGTATCTCGTAAGTGTCGTCGTCGAACATGACGATATGGATTTGTTGTCGTGGACCGAAGGGATGTGCTAAAGTTTTGGGGGCGCGGTAATGGCTTCAAGCTTCAAGCTTCAAAAGCTTAAATTCTGCCGGTTGTGACCGCCCATACATCGAATTTCAAGAACTTTGCCTTTCCGTTCCCTTTCACATCGAAGATTTGCGCAATACCCGTATTCGAGGGCCGGCGCGCTCAGCCAGCTTCACATCAAATATGGCGATCCATATGGTGGCGGACCTCTTCTTCAGAGGCCTGGAAAACCTCACTAGTATCTATTTTCTCCTGAAACTTGCAGTCGCTCTCGGGGTGGTTGCACTCATCAAATGGTATTCTATAGGGGCGTCCAATCCATCCGAGCGACAGATGCATGGGAAGGTGATATTGATCACTGGAGGTACATCTGGGATAGGTGCTGCGACAGCTCTTGCCCTGGCGGAGCGTGGTGCACAAATTGTCCTACTGGTACACCAGTCGCCCACGGATATCTTTCTCGTCGACTACATCGAAGACATGCGGGAGAAGAGCGGCAACGAGATGATTTACGCGGAGCAGGTCGACTTATCCTCTTTATACAGCATCCGAAAGTTTGCTACGAAGTGGATCGACAATGCACCTCCTCGAAGACTCGACATGATCATACTCTGCGCCGCAACTTTGACACCACCCGGCAAATCTCGGATCCTGACAGACGAAGGGCTTGAGGAAACTTGGGCGGTCAATTATCTTGCAAATTTCCACCTACTCAGCATACTCAGTCCAGCTATTCGATCTCAACCCCCAGACCGCGACGTCAGAATCATATTTGCGAACTGTTCTTCCTACATGCGGTCACCTGCCGTCGAAGATGGGAGTGTGGCTATGAAGAAGAAGGAATGGTCACCAACACTTGCATACTCAAGGAGTAAACTGGCACTAACGATATTTGGACAAGCATTCCAAAAGCACTTGGACGCCTATAAGAGGCCGGATGGCGCACCAATGAACGCTCGGGTGATATTCGTCGATCCAGGATACTGTCGGACTCCAGGAATGCGAAGATATCTGACTCGAGGTACAATTTGGGGCCTCTTCGCGTATCTGTTCATGTGGCAGAACGTATGGCTGCTCTTGAAAAGCTCACAAGGTGGTGCTCAGAGCTTCCTGTATGCATCGATGGAAGTTACCCTTGGCCGAGGAGCTGGAGGAAAGATGATCAAGGAATGTCAAGAGTTGAAATATGCAAGGAGCGACGTGAAGGACGAGAGAGTTGCAAAGAAGTTATGGGAGGGCAGTGAAAAACTGATTGAGAGAGTCGAGAGGGAAGAGGCAGTAAGAAGGGCCTTGGAAAAGAAAGAGCAGGAGAAAAGCACCAAGCCGACGAAGGATAGCGACAAGCCTGAAGCTACAGGAGGCGGCAATGGTACTAATCAGCAGAAGTCTCGGAGGCAAAAGAAGTCGAAGAAGTAACGACAAAATGTACTCCGGATGTTGCATGCATAGCGATAGAGCCACAAGATACACTCGGGATGTACCACCTTATTGATGGCAGATCTTGCAGGATCGAGAAATGCAGGTACACTTCTTCTCTTCGGATATCCGTTTCTGTTGTTGTTCTCAATCGAAAGCATACCAAGGCAGGCATCAGATAGCGAGGACCTGGCTTATCTCGCCCACAGCCAAATCCCAAACCACAAGACAGGTAGAACGAAGTACCCAGAGTACCCAAAAATAGCCACGCCCGTTTCCAATACCGAAATCCTTATCATTCTGGGCCGTTGTTTCCAGTTGATTTCTCGAACCCGAACGTCATTCTTCCTATTACGGCGAAGTAGCCCTGGCCTTGCCGATGGAGGATATCCTTCGAGATTGGCTCTCCTGGTAACGAGCCTCAACCTACCACCCGCCCGAGGTTACCGTCTCCCATTCTGTTTTCCTCTTCAAATTTCATTTCCGTCTCCGCAACCCGAGTAGCCTTCGAAGGATGCTTCCACTGAAGTGCTTTTATACCCTTTGTTGACTTGGCGAATCGCATCGTGCTTTGTTCCCAATCATGACACAAAGAAAAGTGATCGGATAAGGGCGATCAATGCATAATAGAAAAAGTCGAATCTCGAGTCTTGAAATTAATTACCATAATCTCTCATATGCAGCATTGGTATTCAGGCATCATAGTTTTCAAAATGGCGCGCAAAGCACATCCCGTCTACCCGTATCGCAACTTCCAAATCGATCGCACATCTATACCTCCCCCGACGGCTGCCGGACTCATTACCCCAATAGTAATACTATCTCGCACGTTTGAATACTTGCGCCTCAAATACGGCCTCATCTCCGCCTCTGCCATCTATTTGCACGGCACCTCCTTCGCTCTCCCCTGTCTCCTCACCCAACTCCCCTGCGACCAGAGATACAAAACCGAATTCCCACTTTTCGTGGATGTATGCCAGCCCGACAAGGGGCTGGTGTTGAACTCTTCAAATTTGGCATTCCCGAAAGGATGCCTAGGCAAGCTCACAGTCAGCAAGACCTGGACGCTAATTGGCTCTGTGGTACCTCCTGCTTCTGGACGACATAGTTAGTGATCTCCGCCCAGCCGTTCAGCGCCGAAGGTCAAGGCGGAGCCTGCCCAGCTCGCTTAATTTGTGGGTCATCAATAAACAACCGGAAAAAAAAAATTGAGGGGAAAGGGGTAAAAAGTAATGGCGAAAAGAGGCAAAACCTTCACAGCCAAATTACACACGAGCGGAGTGTAAGTTGACTGCTTAGTACAAGGGCGGAACCATTGTTTATCTGTTAGATCTCGTCTTTTCGGGATGGGGTGTATGCTCTTAAACCCAGGACGCCTTACTCCAGAGATCTAATTCTTGGATGTGATGTTGTGAAATGGAGTCTATAAGCAAAGGGTCAAAATTATTTGCCGGAGAAACGCCACTCGCAGAAATACATGCGAACCTAGGGTATGACTGGAAAATGAATCTGGGACCAGTTGCAAGAGCAAGACGGTACGAAACGGGCCGAGAGATCAGGGGCTTGACCGATGATTGAGCAGAGTTTTAATTTCATTCGCAAAGTATTAGGAACTTTTTATTTGATCTCTCCCGATCGAAAGGTCCATTGTATCCTGAGGGAATTTCTATTATCGCAGTTTCTGACGGCGTTAAACTCGGGATCTGTCGGTAGTTTGACACCCTTCATATATGCTGCACCTTTAGCCTTGGATCGGTCCTCCGTACTGTAGGCTGGCAGACTTGGTTCCGTACATTAAGATTCCAACCGGGTAGATCATGGCTGTGTCGACCGTGGCAGCGCCTGCGAATTTAAGCTCAAGTCCGTACCACCGTCGACCAATTCCCCTCTGTCAGGATCCGAAAGACTCCCTTCGTGGATCATCGGATTTTTCCACACCGAGAAATGAGGTCCAACAGTCCAGATACTGTTCAACTACCAAAGTACCATGACAAGATGGGCGTCTTATCCAAGCCAACAAATCACATTATCTGGTCCAGAAAGTACTCCCGTGGAATCAAGGGCTCTTTGAGCATTCTTGGCAATATTCTTCAGGTCCTGGTGCCCTTTTCCGACGTCTTCTTTTAGGATATCCTGTAAGTCAAGATTCGTGCCGCAAAGACCCTTGAGACTGTAACGATGCCATCTCTGAGCAAGGCTCGAAGACCCTTGCTCAGCTCATCGACGGCTGGAGGCGGGTTTTCTGCAGCTTACCTTTCTTTACACATCGCAGAAATTCGTCACAAAAGCTAGGTCCATAAAGTAGTGAGATAAAAGTACATCTTCTTGCTCTCTCTTGTTCATATAAGGTGTGCCAAGAAACTCTGGTCGAGAGATGTTACCAGACCTCAATGAGAACGCCGGGATAAAGTACGGTGGTAGCTCTGGCATCCGACATAAATGCACTAATTTCATTAGAATCCGTGCCACGGACAGATAGATAAAGTCGTCGAACGGAGTTGGTCGGAGACTTTCGTTCTCAGTCTTCCCTCGGGATTTTGCCCCTGGCTGAAAGCATCTGTGTAGAAGATAACTATGGCAATCGTGTTGTACGGCTTCTTTTTATAATAGACCTGGTATAGCGGCGAGAATTTCTTCTTCATTTTGACTGACGACATCGAAAGTTGCATTGGTGACCAAACTTGCACTCATGAGGTCGATTTTTCCTACCTTGAAGCCACCCCAGATAGCACGAAGGAAGTCCTGCATGCGATGAAAATCCTCGAAGAATGAGAAAATCATCAGACACATGCGCATCTCTTCCGACTCTTCCAGCTCGGATAGAATATCTGAGGAGTCTTCCAACGAAATGATCTCTTCTTCATCGACGTCTGGTAGATCTTCCACTTGGAGCACCTGAAATCGATTCACGATCTCGCTCCATTCGCCCTCCTTTATATCCATGGTTGGACCTGCACTTGGCATGCTTTTTTCAGCAGCGGCTTTCGAGATCTTGGCTCCATTAATTATTTCGAGGGTCTATGGGTCAAAATCTCAGTGGCTGTAGTCCTCATGTTACAAAGTCGAACGGGACACGAAATACGGGACATGTAGGCTGGTTTCTTGTACCTGTTCTAGTACCTGGATGAAATATCGATGTCCCTCATTAGAGAATCCATTGACTTTGGAAACCTCGTACCACTCGGCACAACAACGGCGGGCCCGGATTGCGCGCTCAAGAACTTTCCTCGCGCTTTTGGGCAATTCAACTCTCCCAGTAACAGCTCGTGCTTGATTTAGGAGGTTTTTGATGGAGATACTGTATGTCACAGCCTTTTTTGGAATATTTGAGCTGGGAGCTGGACCTTTGGCAAACGACTCCTTCGCCAATCTGCGAGCCTTCCCTTTGAGTCTAATGGACTTTTCAATAGGAGTCACCCCCAAGGAAGGGGCTCTCGACAGATTTTGAAGTTTTTTAACTGTATACCCAACAGTAATTGCAGCTTTCGAGAGCCACGTTGTAAAAGGCTGTCGAAATTTCCTCGGGTGAATCGTTTGACATCCAGTGATATCGAGATGGAGAGCAAACGGCCGTCTAGAACCGGTTGCAGACGATAAACAAATTCACAAACAGAAGTCAGGGAAACCAGCGGCCGAACGCGAACGGGTCGTTATTCTTACCGAGCTACCTCAAAGGGGGATGCAAGGGCTTTTGCACAGTCAGCTGATCGTCCGATGATGATCTCTTTGGAGACGATCCCAAAAGGTTGGTACGACGGGTGGATCGATCCCCTCAGGTCTATAGTTGAATTAGAATTAAACTTGTACTTAGAGCATTTGAAGAAATCAAGCTATTGCTGAAATAGAATAATAGTCTTAATCGATTAAATTGTTGTGTTAAATTGTTGTGTATAAGTGCTCGTCTTTTCGTTAAAAGACCGTCCGGAGCGTTTTTAGCTAAGCTGTTCCTGAATAAAGCTTAGCACTGAATTCAAGCGGTCCAATAACCGTCTCTTATAGAAGAGGGTCAGAGCACCACTGAAATGACCCCCTACTTCCCTTTATGGTAGCTTCGAACAGGTGGTTCAGGCACCGGTATTTTGTTCATCACTAGCTAGGTATAACGTATCGTGTTCAAACGTTCTTATTTAGTCTACGACGGAGCTACGATTGGAGATAATCCCAAGACGGGTGTTATATTCTGCGAGAAAGCTGGTTCCGAAGACTGTGGAACAATTTCTGAGCTTTATGGGCTCATGGGCTCAAACAAACGCGCCCGGCCGGCCGGGTGCCAGTGAGTTCCGGCCGAACCACTGCTCTTTTGACCGACCAACTGTTTGGTACAATGGAGCTTGTTGCGATAGGACCTCATGTGCCACTGAGCGATTATAATCCAACATTTATCCGACAGTTATTTCCTTAAAATTTGTCGAAACAAGCCGACTGGCGTCTGCTTGTAGATATCTGAGTGGCCATGGATCATGATGTATTTCATCGTGAGAGATGGGAAATAATTTAAGGTCTAAGGCCTAAAGTGTGTCGATCGAGAAGACGGATGACAGACACAAAAAGAACCATGCCTTGAATATCCACACTGAATATCGTTAGATCACAATGATTGCATGAGAAAGCTGATGTTGGGATATCGGAAGTCGAAGCTCTGGGAGGGGCGTCTCCAGGTGTTAGCGCATCTCGCTTGAAAAAAGGGGGCCTAACCGAGACCTGGCGCATTCTTCACTTGGCCCTCGACTCTGATACTTAAATACCATTCTCCAACATTAAGTCTCAAATTTTTGGCCACCGCGAGTACTTTTCATTCTCAAGAGCAAATTTTAACGAGATTACAGTTGCAGCTATGCCGTAGCAAGCACCTGCTCCTCAAACAAGCGTATACCCATCAACGCTCGCTACTCAGCCGTCAGCATCGCCTCATATATATACTCAACAATTCAGGTTTCTCCGAATACGTACAGTAAGTCTTCGTCCCATTCACGGCATAGCCCGTCTCCACCCCAACATACACCCCGCTATTCACAAACGCATACCTCGGGTTCCCAGTCTCAAAGGCATAAGTTGTCCGACCAACATAGTTGACTTCCCACCCCGACTGCTTCACCAGTATCGCCGCAGGGGGTGACTCGTTCGTCGTGAGGAGGTACTCGAACGAAAGTTTGTATATGTGGCCGGTCCCATTTGCCGTTTGGTAATAGGACGCAAGGCCAGACTGGCACACAAGTCAAGCCAAGTCAGTCCGTCACAGTAAGATCTTGTAGTACGGTGGGTACAAAAGGGCGAGGGGAGGAGGGAGAGGTTATGCAATGCTTACAGCGACTGTACCCGTGACTCCACCGTTCCATTTCGTGCAGAAACTCCCGCCTTCGATGGGGAGAAATGTCTGGCGTGCGTTGTAGATGTCGATGCTGAGATCCGTGCCAGCTCCAAGGGTGAGGTTCATGGTGAACTCAAATTGGGGTTTTGGAGTTACTTTCCGCGAGCGGGTGCATTTCGCTCTCGCAGCATGAGTGGCTGAAAGCAAGATAGCGAGAAGGACCGGGATGGAAACCGAAAGGTACCTCATCGCGATTTATAAGGATTATGGATTGAGGTTCTTTGCAGGAGAATTCGGCTCATCCTCGATGTATATATATATATACGATATGCCTCGGCTAATACCTGCGTATCGGGCTTCTTGTGTGAGAGATACTGCTCATCCCCACCGCCTTCAGTGTAACACTGTGCGAAGATACAAGTCACACAACAGATTACACAGCATTGTTTTGACCTGTCCTTTTCTCACATCTGACCATTCAAGGCAATCTTCGATGCAATTTTTGCTACAACGCTCCAATCATCTTCTAAACCAAGGAGTTCGTCGGCGATTTTTAGCGAGCCTCGATTACAAAGCTGGATAAGCGTGCCTTCCTTATTTGCGCAAGCAAGCGAACGCACGAATGACCATCGCCTATAGTGGATCAGGCTTCGGTTTATTCCTCTTCGGGAGACTTGCTGAAAATCAAATCTAGGCGCACCGATCAGCCCGGCGTTGTACCACCTCCCCATCGCAGGGTAATTGGCATGCCAATGCACACTCGCTCCACATCGTCTACGAACCTTTTTCAAGAAGTGGGCTTCAGCAATATCCAAGTTCTGTTGGTTGAGGAAAAAAACATTAAATATGAAAGTAATAGAGAAGCAATAAGAGAAGGCAGGATGCCTTGTATACGTGGTATATCATGGCATGGAAGCTCAACAAACCATCCGCGAGACAGACGCTTGGCATGAGCAAGTGGGTGTGCCGAGACATCTGGATACAAACAATCTTGATGGACTGGCAGATGCCGGTCATGGGTTGTATGGCGTGGAGTCAAGAAATTTGCAGATTGCAGGCTGAAAAGCACACTATGCGGGAACGTTCAAAATCATTGCAACCACTGCTAATGCTAGAGATGGGCATGTTGGTACTGCGATCTTTAGCGGCATAGCCAGCGCCCCCCCTCTTTGGTTTCTGCAAGGCTTCAGCTGATCAATGAGGACTGCGTGGTCTCCAAACCTTTTACGGTTGCCGACCTGCTTATCAAAATCACAGAACGGCTCACCATCGTCGCAGCGGCCACCGCCACGGCAGACAACCAAAGGGGGGCGTATTAGCTTTGGAAGTTATGAGAATAGAAAAGATGGCGACGTTGTTCCGTATTCGGGCGGCGCATTTGCATTTTCACGGCGTTGGATCGAGCTGGATACCTAAGGGCATTGAATGGAGTCACTGCGATCTGGTTGTACATAGGACGTCCTTAACTTACAGGTGCGCTAAGTCGTCATGGATGGCAGATGTGAGGAGAAAGGTCGAGATGAACGCGTGCGGCGTGCATATTGGTGCTGTTGGAAATAAGACTTCAGTTCGTTCTGAAACCAGTCAGTTTGGTAACTTTTTTGAGAGGAGTAGTAAAGCAAGGAATATATTAGACAAGTCAATCAGTCAGTCAAGTCAGTCAAGTGAACCTAATAGCTCACTTGACTGCTCCGTTTGCTATTGCGTTTGTAATCTCAAGTAGCTATGTAGGTAGCTTCGATTCCACTTAGTTAGAGGTATGGAAAACCAACTGAAAACATTCACAAACCGAATACGTATTCAACTTGCATCACACACCCTGTCATACCAACAGGTGCTATAGTGCATATAAAATGGGTCGATTAGGTCACGTGGAGATTAGATAAGAGCTAGGTAGGTATCTCTATCTGTATCTCCAAACCCGGTCGCCCGACCACAACTTTCAACCGCGGCTGACCTGAATTCAAACTTCGTGAACAACTTCTTCCGACATCAAGGCAAGCAATTCCGTTTCGCTAACAGTTAAACACCCACCATGACCGAGGTGATTACGGACCAAGTCCCCCCGATCCTCCATGGACCCTCTGAAAAGGAAAAGAAGTACGATAGACAGCTGCGACTTTGGGCAGCAGCAGGACAGCAAGCTCTTGAGGATGCCCATCTCCTCCTGCTCAACTCTGGCGCAGGAACTGTTGGTGTAGAGACCTTGAAGAACCTCGTTCTTCCAGGTAAGCTTGGAGTTGCTTGGTCCACATACTTCTACTAACCAATATCCAGGTATTGGCAAGTTCACGATTGCGGACAGCGCTGTCGTTGGAGAGGCTGACCTGGGAGTCAACTTCTTTCTGGACCAAGATAGCTTGGGCAAATCGAGAGCTGCCAGCTGCGCCCAGCTACTACAAGAGCTTAATCCGGACGTGAAGGGAGACTACTTTACATCAACCAACGTAGGTCATTTTTTCGTTATTGTTGATTGGCCGACGGCTTATTTTTGTCTGCTGTAGGACCTCCCTTTTGATGCTGAACAAAAGTACACCCTTATAATGTACACCAACCCGATCAAGCCTGAAACCCTTGAACTCGTACAAAAGTATGCTCTTGAGCACAAAGTCCCACTCGTCGTCATCCAATCTGCCGGATTCTACTCCTACTTCCAGACAGTACTGCCCGGCAGCTTCCCAATCGTGGATACCCACCCAGACTCAACAGCTACAACCGACCTAAGACTCCTTACACCTTGGGCAGAGCTATCAGCATTTGTTGAGATTTTGACAAAGGATCTCGAGAACCAGCCTGCTCATGAGCATGGCCACATACCATACATTGTACTGCTGCTGTACTTCCTGGCCAAGTGGAAGGAGGAGCATGGATCATTCCCTTCAACATACAAGGAAAAGACTGCTTTTAGAAAGGTTGTGTCAGATGCTACCCGGACCAACAATCCAGAAGGAGGAGAGGAGAACTTCGAGGAAGCTGTCTCGGCAGTTCTGAAGACCGTCTCCGCTCCATCTTTGTCCAGTGCAGTAAAGGAGGTTTTTGAATATAAGCCAAATGAGGTATGCGAACTACTACGCTCTTTCATTTTTCTCTCTAACTGGAGTCTAGGTGGAGTCAAAGTCGAGCTTCTGGATCATCGCCGCTGCTATCAAGAGGTTCTATGAGGAGCACAAGGAGCTCCCACTACCAGGCTCAGTACCAGATATGAAGGCACAATCAACAGTCTATGTCAAACTCCAGAACATCTACAAGGCGAAAGCTCGCCAAGATGTGGCTGAGGTGCTGGCAATTGTTCGGGGCCTCCCAGGTGGCGAAGAAGTGGATGCAGCTGAAGTCGAAAGCTTCTGTAAGAATGCTGCTTTTATAAAGCTCATCTATGGGACCGAAGTGGGGAGGGTGAATCTTCAAGATATCGCAAGCAAGTACCTCAGCTCAAAGCTCCTGGTGCCTACTAACGACTGCATAGAACGAGAGTTTGAGAATGATGAAAATGCCGAGATTACTATGATGCCTCTCTCCCTCCTTCCAATCTACTTGTCCCTGACCGCAACCGCTCATGCGCCCTCTGCAACTTCCTCCCAGATCCTCGCCACAATCGACAAAACCATCCCTGACGCTTCTCTAAACCCACGTGTCGTGGAGATAGCTCAAGAAGTAGCCCGAGCCAAAGGTGGCGAACTTCACAATATCTCGGCATTAACAGGCGGAATGGTGGCTCAGGAGGTGATCAAGATCATCACAAAGCAATACATCCCGATCGACAATACCTGCATCTTCGATGGGATCACAAGCAGAACGCAAGTACTACGAATATAATGACGACGAGTTCAATGAATAACGAAGGGACGGATTATGACAAAATGACAAGCTCAGCATACAGAGGCTATGGCTGGATCTCGTGACATGATGATCGGAGGACCTCACCTCATGTTACATTGGGAATTCCCAAGCCAGACCAATACATGTGGCGGCCATCGGTGGTCTACATGTACAGGAGTGGAAGCACTCTATTAAATCCCACCACAGAGTGGAATTCACATGCAGGCCGAATCTCATTACGCGATTCTTGTATCTCAACTTCTCGTTTCGAAACAGACCAAATACTGGAGTGAGGTGCCGGTTGGAAGAAAGTCATGTTGTCAGCCTACATACAACTACATTTACCAAACATGACACGGCCATGATCCAGAGCCCCAATCTTTCCAGCAACATTTCAATACTTCAAGGTCGGTCGCTCTTCGACGACTACCTATTCCATTCCAGGTGATCTCGACCTCACCCTGCTTTCCTTCATGATTTGCTTCTCTCGCTACCTTACAATACTCACAGTCGCTACCAGATTCCCCACACCTCAGTGCGGGAATGCTTATGGCTATCACTTCAACCATCCAATCTCACCCCATGTCCCGCCCCTACCGGCCCGTCTTCCAAATTATGCCATCCACAAATTACAATTCAATATATTATGCACCACCGACCTTCCTCTCTCTGTCCCACCCCCGAGCCATCTCATCCATTCACATGATCTCAACTCAATCGCCTCTCCTTATCAATCAAGAGTTACATTTTTTCTATAAGAATGCCCGAATCAAACGTAACATCCCATCTAACCGACTCTTGTACTCGCCCCAGCCACATGAAGGTGTTTCTCGCGGGTACCACCTATCCGTAAACTTGGTGACTGAAATAGGGAAACAGCATTTTTCCCGGCTTCCTTTCACCCGCTGCTTCCCGGCTGGACAATCCATCCCTCCTCCATCCCGCTCCCCCCATTCCCCGGATTCCGGCCCCCTGGGTGGCGCGTGCCATCGTGCAGGTGCGGGTGCAGGTGCTGTGCGTGCATGCATGGCATGGTTCTGCTGGACGAACGACGCTGGGCGCGCGACCCTTGCAGATAGATAGATAGATCGGTAGATCTATAATGTGTGTTTACGACGGCAAGGCACGTTGCGTACCTGTAGATAACATGCTGAGTTTTAGAGAGGAGAGAGAAAAGTAGTAGTAGTAGTGGTGGTATTGGGTAAGGCGGGAATTTGAAACGCAATGCTTTATTACGTAGAATCTTAGTCATTAATTTTAGAGGACGGCGACGTGCTAAGGAGCGAAGAGTATATATAATAAGGTTTTATTTCGTATTTGAATCGAAAGTAAAAACGAGGTTAAGGAAAAGCCCTTGTTTTTTAAGAAAAAAAAAAATGAAAAAAATTTGGGCTGCAGGTATTTGATCTTGCGGTATCGCAGACTCTCTACAAGCCTTTTCCGTGCACTGTCAAGAAAGAAACTCGTTTAAATAATTTGTCATTCAATTAAATCATCGTATACACGTAGCTTCATAAGTAAGTGTCTGCGTGCTCTTCCATACTATTTTTTCCAGTAATCATCGATCGACCTACGTAAAAATCTTCAGCTCTCTCAACGCACCCGTAACCGGAACATGGGGAGTCCCCAAAAATCTCGCTAGCAAACGGTATCATCCTTCCCCCTCAAGCATCTTGGGCCATCACACTCTGGACCGTCCCCGCCAGGATCCCTGCGCCAATGATACCACCGTCGTGACAAGGCCGCAGCGAGACCCTCGGCACCCGCTCTCCATTTCCAAACTCGGCTTCCATGATCTCGTCGAGAAACCACTGGCTGTCTTCCAGGTAGTCTTGGAAGTGAACTATGCAGCTACCGGTATATCCCACCATCATCTCCTCGAGCTCTGATTCGCCGCCGTCCATGGGGAGAGCAGGCTCGTTACCGTTGGACGGACTGGAGGAGATGGTGGATAATTCTATCTCTCCGGCACAGGCCAAGAGAGCAACGACAGCCGCGGCTATCATTCCAGCCGCTCTGATCTGAATTGCCTTGGCTACTGCGTACACAATCGACGCTCCTTCGTCTGTCCATTGCCACGAATGCGGCGCATCCGACGAAGGCAGTTCTCGCTCTACTTGCTTCAGCATCGAAGGCTCGGTAGCCGCAAGATGTGGTCCGATACTTCCCAGGAAACTGGTCGTGAGCCCATTTCGCTGTCTGAGTCGAGGCGGCAGCGTAGATTCAGGTATGGAGAGATGATCTGTGAGAAATTCAAGAATGATAATGCGACCTAGCTCTCCCAGATAGCGACCGGAAGTCATGTACTGGAAAGGTTGAAAGCCTGGCATTTCGCCTTCTGCGTCGAGTTTCCGGTCCCAAGGCGTAATGAAGCCGTGCTCGTGTAGGGGACCTGCTGCGCCCTTGATTGTCCATTCCGTGTTCACGGTGATCTTGAGATCTAGATCCGCCTCCTTGGTCTTTTCGCCCTGGATTTCGACCTTTGTTGGTCTCTTGCTTGGGTGAAGTTTGCTGAGAGGTAGAGGGATTGTTGCGTTGCAGCCGGTACCTACGATAAGGCCCATGACGGCCTTGTGCCGGGCGTTCTTTCTAAACATGTATGCGAATGCGACAAGAGTGGCTACGGCGTCATTCACAATAGCCGCGATTTTGATGCGCGGTAGCGATGCGCTTCTCGAAACTTCATAGCCATCTCGAAGCAATTTGGCCAGATCGAGATTCGAGGTAATTTTGAAGCCTTTGCCCATAGGCATCAGGGTTGCCTCGGAAAGGGTGTGTTGACTATTTTCAGTGAGCAGCAACTCTCGCTTTGGATAGGGGTTTCGCGCCTACATCATGGGAAAGCTGAACGTGACCCCGAGCGGTAACTGGTCTGGGAGTTCTCCCGGCCAGGCAAGACACCCATCATGTATGACTTCGGCAATCCGCTCTCCTATCCACGCAAACAATTCCTCAGCCCGATCGTTTTTCAATTGCTCTCCAATTGGCCAGCTTTTCTCCAAGTGTCGTTTGACACGTGATATCTTGTATTGCTTATCCTCTCCTTTCTCGCCATCTTGGTCGCCATGCAGGAAGTCTCCAGATCCAAGCAGCTCAATGAAGCCAACTCGAAGATTCGTACCGCCGCTGTTCGACTTTAGTTTTTGTGTACAGTGTCTAGATTTAGGGTAGAACTCACATATCAATAGCCAAGTACCTAGAAGCCTGTTATTTTATAAGTCCAAAAAACTGACCGGATCCCTTATCCTATCTCAATCATAGAATGGGACGCGCTTCACACGATGGCAAATCCAAGGAAATACAACATAGCGGGAGAGATCATGCGTACCTTCCGTTCTCGTCGCCCTCAGGCCTCAATATTGAATCCGAAATCGGTGTCGGTAGAAATTGTTCTTGCGACTCGGCGGCCAAGCTAGTAAAGGTGCTGTGTAGGCTCCGTGCAAGGCTGCGGATCTTGGAAGTGTCGACTTGCAAAGGGAGGAGGAAGGAGTCCGCCGACTGAGACTCTCTGGTTGTGGTCATTTCGAAGATTGACATGAGAAAGAGGTTGCAGATGTTGAAGATGAAGTTGGAATGATGGGTCTAGACCTAGTACTTCAGCTATTCTAATGGGCGAGGGAGTGTCTTATGTTGAAAGTGAGTGTGTTGAACGTGAATGTAATGATCAGGCGAGTGCGTGAATCATCTTCATGGCGGGGGGTGAAGCAGGAAAGATACTGAATGTATTGTGAATTGTGAATGTGTGGAGCTATTGCATTTGTAGGACTTGAAAACTAGTCAGTATACAGGCAATTGAATCTGGAAAGCAAGGTTGGATAATCATATCTTTTACTCAAAGTTGGATAATCATACCTTCTACTCAAGGTCACTTATCAAAATTTGAACCTACAGGGACGTCCCGGGCCTTATCGTGGATCCGCATGGGAGAGCCTTATCAGCGTGCTTAGCTCCCGCACCCCTACCAACTTTCTACAACCACATCTCCATGTCCTCTACGCCATGCCTCCTCTCCCTACCACGTACCCGCGGGACCCGAAGTACCCAGAGATGCTGAACGAGAAAAAAAGGATGTTCCGCTACCGAACAAACCGTCGGAATCGACCCTTCGCGATTGCTTTTGGTGTGGTCGCGCTCTGCTATCTTCTCTGGACGAATGTATCGAGGCCGAGTCTATTTTACTTCTGCCGTACGGCCGAGCAATCAGACGTTGCCTCGGGCGTGTCGAGAGCAAATCTGCAGGATCAGAAGGCTTTGGTGCCGCTCGAAGCGCATATCATGTCAAAGTGTCCAGACGCGAGGGTACGTTACATGCTTGTTGGTGGATAGGAGGGACGTTGACAGGAAGTAGGACTGCCTCAGGGATATGGTACTGCCTACGATGCAGAAAGTCATCGACAAGGTGAATTTCACGCTGTCATTCATTGGCACGTAAGTTAGACTTTCTACCCCCATCTGGGATTAAGGCGGGCTCTAACAAGCTGTGAAGTCCTACAGACAATGACGGGGTGGATTGCAAGCATGGCCCACAGGAATGTATGGGCAACATCATCGAGCTATGCGCCCAGCGACTGTATCCCGATCCGAAGATCCACCTAGGCTTCACGATGTGTATCTCTCGCGACTACAAAGAAATCCCAGACGAGAGTCTGATTTCGGACTGCGCGCTCGAACACGGCATCAATATTAGCACGCTGAACGATTGCGCGGTAGAAGATAACGGCGGCCTAGGAGTTGGCATGCTGCAGGATAGCGTCAGGAGGAGTATCGATGCAGGCGTAACGAAGTCTTGTACCGTCCGGCTGAACGAGGAGATATACTGCGTTCGAGATGACGGGGAATGGAAAGACTGCCCGCACGGAGCCGGCGTCAATGATTTGGTTCTTGCGGTCGAAAAGCTGTATCGCTCTTCTGCTTCTCCAACTTCAGTGGCGCAAACACTTCCGTCCATAGCTCAGTAGCATCCCCAATTCTGTAGGTTAATTCGACTTCGTCCATACCACGCTCGTCATCGCCTCCCATGGTTTCTAGCTGCGAGATGAGGCTCTCCAATCCGATGGCTTTGCCAACTGCCTGCGTTGCCCCCGCCTCGAGTGCGACGTGCACAATGTGGATGTGGAAATGGTAGTAGGTGGGCTGGTAGTGCACATACAGCTTCAGCAGATCACCTTCCACACCCTTCTCCCCATACATCCCAACCGTAGCCTCCACCAGCCTCTCCCTCATGTGCCTCAACCACGGCAAATGCCTCTTCTTCAAATCCCTTAAACTCCAAATATCCCTCCTCTCCACCAACACAAGTAGATGCAGCCCCTCCATCGTCTTCCGGTCCCAGTTCAAGTCTGGTAGCAGCAAGAACCCCTCGTCGCCAGCCTGTCCCAGCGGCGTCCGGAAGATAACATCCTCCACTTCCGTCTTCCCCTCAATAATGTTGTACACCCAGTTCAGCCGACCCTCCTCCCGTTTCGCCAACATGTACGGCCGGACCCTCTCGCGGTACACCTGCGCCGTCTCGACCACCATCCGCACCCCCTGCTTGCTGTACTTCCTGACGTGCTGCTCCGTGCACGGATAGATCAGGTTGATCTTCAGATCCGCAAAGTCCTCGGCTTTCTCTCCCGCGCCAGCGGCGGGGTACGGGGTCGCGGTCGCGAGGTACCAGAAGTAGACGTCGTTGGCGCCGAGGTTCCGGAGCGTCTGCAGCGTGCTGGGGAGCTGGGAGAGGTAGGCTGGGGAGTCGGGAAAGGGGGCGCGCTCGAGGATCAAGAGGGCGCGCTGGCTGTTGATGTGCCCGAGGAGGACGCTGCGCCGGCCGGCTTCGTCTGGAAGGGTTTGTTAGGTGGAGCTCGAGGGCTTGTGGAGTGGTGGGGTTAGAGGTAGATGGCATTGATTGATGGTACCTTGTTTGAGGACGCTGTCAAGCTTGAACAACGGAATGAGAGACTCGGGATCGGGCGTGAACTCGCTCATGGTAGCAATCTGGGGAAGCTGATTCCGGACGAAGTATAAGCGTTGCTGGAAGCCGGCCGTCGTGTTTGTTGACTCCTAGAAAAGTTTCGAGATACCTATGTAGGTCCGGGGCGGTGAGAGGCAGAAAACGGAGGGGGATACGGCTCCACTCGCTAAAAAAGAAAAACCCTGAATCAGATTGGAGGGTTTACTTACCGGGCTGGGTGTTCAACAACGTCAACAAACGTCAAGTATGAGGCAAGGTTCCCAAACTCTCTCGGGGATCGACTGCGACGTGCAACAAAAATATAACAAGCGCCCGGTGATGGGTCAAGTTTCTGGTGTCGCGTCGGCCGATTGGCTCTTGAAGAGTCGATTTCGACCGATGCAACGGAGGAAAGGCCTCATGGCGAGATGTCCGCTGCAATGGTCTCAAACTCTCTCGGACATTGACTGCGACGTGCAACAAAATCTTTGAAAGGCTCCTATTCTTGGAATAGCCAGTTTATTGTGATTCGTGTTGACAATAGGAATCAGATTTGCACTAGTCTTCGCCATACAGGTATAATTGCCGAGGTGGAGCTCGTTCAATATATTCATCGAATTCCAGGTACGCATTGGTGCCCGCCATTTTCAACCTCCCTATTTGTTATACAACCAGGCCCGTAGCCTTTACAGATCTTAATGATACCCGTTCGTGCCACCGGTCAGTGTGAGCAGCTCTTCTTTCCTCAACCTATACAAGTCCTGTGCTTCTCTTTCTCTCCTGGCCACAAAGCCTACCTCGCTTCTCAAAGACTCCAGTCTGCGTGAGATTGCAGCTTCTTCCGAGATCTGCAACGTTCTAAAGGAATCGAGGGATTGGGTCGCCTTTTCGAGAGCTTCCGACGCCTCGTGAATCTTTTGACGGAGCATTGTCGCGCGCTTTGCGTAGCCACCGAGATGGAGGTTAAGCTTTTTCTGGAGCTTGTTGCCTTTCTCGGCCGCCGCTACGATGGATTCTTGGACATTCTGGGATTTGTCAGTTGAAGAATTATAGAAGGAAGCGAGGATATGACACTTACGTTGAATGCTTGCACGAGCATCTGGTGCTCATCAACTTCTTCCTCGTATCCACTAATGCCAGGCAGCAAAGAGTGGGTCTTGGCTTCACTCCATGCTTGCTTGAACTCCTCAGATCCGAGCATGGCAGCTTCTTCCGGCACCTCTCTGGTGATTAGTAGTCGTGCGCGGGCAAGATCGTCATCATCGATTACAGCCAGCGGAGCCGGAGTCCCGTTGACCTTGGAGCCAGGAATAGGATAGTTGATGGCATCGGCAGCCTGGAGCAAAGCAGCTTCTCTGGCGATAGCTGCCAAAACAGGATTCGATACTTGCGAAGCGTTCAGGAGCTGGGCATTGATATCAACAGTGGTACTGCGAGGGAGACCCCTTTGCATAACCTGAGTCCGTCGTTTAAAATCTACAGCCTCTTGTGCTTCCCGGATCCGTCGATTTCTATCATCTCGGATCGCTGCATCTTCTTCGGAGAGTTCTTCAGTGCCCAGAAGTTCTTGTTGTTCCTCGGGTAGTTCAAGCTCCCACTCGACATCCTTGGGTTTAGGTAAAGATGCGAGACCTTGCTTGAGTTTGTGCTTGAGGGACATCTCTCGTAGCTTGACGTCTCTAGGCGTACCACCGACCAATTGCATCTCCCCGTCCGCATTGAGTGCAAACGTGTCCCGCGGAGTTCGCATTGGTGTTTGCCCTGGAATTGCAGGTGGACCCATTGGGGTCTGACCAATACCATTAGAGGCTTGTCTGAATGGTGTGGCCATTGGATTCGGTGTCGCCATCGTTTGCCGTCGAGGTGTAACGCCTTCAAACCCAGTGCTTCCAGCTCCCTCGTGTAAAGGGGTGTTCTCACCACCCAGCAAGGAGGACTGCGTCTCTGTCAGAGCTCTGATATTCCTGATCTCATTTGCGATATGGTCCTCTTGAGCCGGTGCTCTGGGTGTTCGAATAGGCGCTCCGCTGTTGACGGTTGAGTACGTGTTGACCAGTCCTCGCGTGGCATCATTCTCACTGGATCTCGCCGCGATATTGGCTCTTTCCCCAATCATTCCCATCTTTACAATCTCCTCCAACTCTCCTTCGCCAACCTGCGGTGATGGTAACACCAAAGCTCTCCTCTTGCTGCTCTGTTCCGCCTCCCGAATCTTCTGCATTTGACCAGCCTTCATCGCAGCCTGGTATGATGCCGAAGGTGCCTCCTTCTCGCCCTTCCTCCGCTTCCGGTCCGGATCTTGCTCCTGGTCCCCCTTTCGCTTGATCGCAAGTTGCTGCTTTCTTGGGTCGAACGCCTCCCTCTCCTTCTCATTCATGGCCTGCTCCTCCCCCGTCTCGTAGAAACCCGGCGCAGGCGCCTTCTCAAATGGAATGTCGGCATTGTAGTCCATCATGCCCTTTTTGCGAAAACTGGCCTTGATGTTGATCCCCGCAGTCTTCAACTCTCTCCTCTTCTGCAACACAGCCAGTCTCCTCGATTCCTCCAACTGCCTCTCTCGCGCCTTGCGCTTTGCCTTCTTTCCTTGCGTGTTTGCCAGACGCGCTCGCGCCTCGCTCAGCATCTCCTTCTCGTCCTCATCCAGGTCGATCGTGTCCGGTCTGGCAGGTTTCGATTCGGGATCCGGGTCCACCTCTCCAGGCCTCAACCTCCTCACATCATCCGCAGAAGGCGCCTTCGTCTCCCCGCCATCAGGCCCTCCCAGCCCAAGCTCTCCGGCCTCCTTCTGCTCAGCCTCGTCCAGCAGCCGCTGGTACCTCTCCAGGCACTGCGTCGCGGTTCTCCCGACCAAGGGGGCGATCGTGCGCCACTGCGTCGGCATCAGCTTCGCCAGATGCAGCAGCTTCTCGTCCTCCTCCTTGCTCCATTCGATCTTGCGGATGCCGGGATCCAGCCACTCGCTCCATCGTGCTTTGCATTGCTTGGGTGTCTTCCGCGCGAGGAGGGACGAGACTCGAGCCCATTGGTTGAGACCGTACTTCGAGACGGAGGCTTTGAGGATCTCGTCCTCGATGTTCGTCCACACCCCTCCTTTCACGACGGGCATGATGGTGGTGGTGGTGGTGGTGGGTTAGGTAGTGTTGTGTAGTGTTGCCGCTTCACTCACTCTGCGCGACTCGCAACTTATTTCAAGGTTCCGGCCCCTAGCGCGATAGATACCCTTTGCCGAGAGTAGTGCACACGTGATCAGGCCCTTTCCAAAACAACCCTGCTGACGGGTGGGAGCATTTGAGCCAGCCAGTCTGATCATGAGAAGCTTCAAGTTGAATAATCTCCATCATTGCTGGGCGGGAGAACCCCAAGTCTTAGATTTGGCTGAGTCCTTATCTCCCAGACGGGTCAGATGTGAGGTTGGACCTCTGGCCTAGTTTGGACTTTTGCTTTTCTAGTATTTACTATAAAAAATTCTTTTGAGGGGGGGAGAAAGGCTGGTTGGCTAGCTAAGGGAGTGACAGAGAGATCTAATCAAGATACTGGACCGGGGTAAATACCTCCCCTAAGTTGGGGGGGCTGGATGGCTGGCTAGCTTTTCGGGATAAAAGTCTACAGAGTAGAGTCTTCTGGCTGCTGGATTGGACTGGATTCGTGCAGTGAGCGAGCGGACTGATGAAGGTAGGCTCTGCGTGAGGCGAACGATACGTCGCGTGCGTGGATCCATCTGTCCGGCAGCTCTCTGTCTCTCTCTCTCTTCTCTCTCTCTCTCTCTC